TTAATTGTTAAATTAATTTAATAAGCTGTCAATTAACTGCTTAAAGTTAAGCTTGTGACAAATTACTCATATAAAAAAATATAGGGGGAAGACATGGACATGTTTGAAGGCAAAGAGAAGGGAGACAACAGCAGCAGAGATTGAAGGGGCAAGGGTAGGTGTGAGGGGCTGATGGTGGTAAGTACGGGAGTCCAGTACCTTGGAGAGCAAGAAAAGATGGAATTGAGGAGTGTTTGTTTTCAAGAAAATGAAGGATGTGTTCTCCTCTGAAATGGCAGTTAGAAAAGACAAATGCAGAAGACTGTGTGTTGAGGTAATGGTCAGAATAGAGATCTTGGGGTCATAAACATAGGGCAGGGAAGAACCCAAGAGATTTTTGAGTCCATCCCCTTGGGTTTACAGATGAAGAAACTGAGGCTGAGAGACATTACATGACTTATCCAGGGTCACATAGTTACTATCTGAGGTGGGGTTTGAACTCAGATCCTCTTGAGCTAAGTGGCTTAGTAGATAGAGCACTGGGTCTGGAGTCAGGAAGACCAGAGTTCATATCCAGCCTCAGACACTTACTAGCTGTGTAACCCTGGGCAAGTCATTTTATCCTGTTTGCCTCAGTTTCCTCATCTGCGAAACGAGCTAGAGAAGAAAATGGCAAACCACTCCAGTGTCTCTGCCAAGAAAACCCAAAATGGGGTCACGAAGAGACGGACAGGACTGAAACGAACAATTTCCTGACTCTAAGCTGTCTACTACGCCACCTAGCTGCTGTTTCAAATTTTAAATAAAATGATCAGCCTCGAATTTTAATAAAGTAAATAATAAAGTAACAATAGCTACCATTTATATAGTGTTTCAAGGTTTGCAAAGCATGCTACATGTATCATCTCATTTGATTCTCACCCCATTTAATGGATGAGACAACTGAGGCTATGACAGCTTAAGCAGCTTGGCCAGGCTTAGACAGCTACTAAGGGAGACAGGATTCCAGCTCAGATCTTCTTGTCTCCAAGTCCAGCATTGTCTTAGTGAGATGATATTTGTGAAGCACTTGGCACCATGCCTGGCACAAAGTAGGGACTTAATAAATGCTTGTTTCCTTCTCCTTCCCTATCCATTGTGCCTCAAAGTAAAGGATGAAGTCCTCCACTGAGTGAGACGTGATAAGGAGAGACCTGGAATAGCCACTGGGACCGCGGAATGCAAAGGGATAGAGAAGGCTTCTTTGGCCAAGTTGGAGTTAGCCAGAATGAGTTGGGTCCTAGTCTACATCCTCGGGCGTTTTCCTCTAGCGCCACCCAGTGGGATCTTCTGAGAGAAGCAGAGACTGTAATAGACAGCTTAACCAGGGTTGTGGGCCAGCCCATAGGAGCTGAAGAAGGTCAGAGTCCAAAAGTTTCAGCGGTGGAAAGGACAAGACTGAAGTAGACACACTGAGATTTAGAACAGGAGGGAACCCTTTGGGAATTAACCATCTGAGGGAGGTGGGATGGGTTAAGTGACCCAAGGGCTTGGTGAGGGCTAAGAGTGGGTGCAGTGGGGGCAGCTAGTTGGCGCAGTGGATAGAACACTGGCCCTGGATTCAGGAGGACCTGAGTTCAAATCCAGCCTCAGACACATAACACATACTAGCTGTGTGACCCTGCACAAGTCACTTAACCTCATTGCCTAGCTAAAACAAAAAACAACAACAAAAAAAACACAAGAGTGGGCGCAGTGCATATAGTCTAGGAAATGAGAGATGACTGTTTGCAGAAGATAGCACAAAATTGGAAACCTCAGAAAGAGGTCATTGGATACTAGATTTAGAGCTGGAAGAGACCTTAAGGCCACCTCCCCCCTCATTTTACAAGTGAGGAAATTGAGGCAGAGAGAAGACATAGCTTATGGATTTGAATCCATATGTTCTCCCCTCCAAATCCAGTCTCCCATCCACTATACCTGTGTGGCTAATGTGGGAGCAGACATCAGTGAAGTCAAAGAAAACCAAAAGTATGTTGAATTATCTTTAACATGATTGTTGAAGTGACCAAGATTATGTCAGGGAGTGGAGTATGGTGGCAAATTTAGAAGTCAAGTTAAGTGCTGAAGTCACCTACAGAAAATGGAAATAGGCCTGGGGAAGGAGGGATGCTGTAGTAGCAGAGGGGTGATCGGAGACAATGGCAGCTAAAATGTAATATAAGCAAATGTCCAGGAATGGCTCTTCCATGCTGGGGGCAGTCTGATATAGGAACAGAGGACTGAACTTGGAGTCGGGAAGTCCTGAATTCAGATCCCATTCCAGACACTTACCGGCTAAATAGCACATATGTTTTAGTCTTAGGACATGCCTCCCTTCCTCAAACCCACGCCTCCACGGAAATCTGGGAGGTGAAAGGTATAATGAGGTTGTTTTTATCCTGGTCACTTGCCCAGGTGGCTGGGGTCCTGAGGGGGCAAAAATCAGGACTGATGATCCTTAACCCCATCTCCTGCCTTATTTCAGCTGGATGAGACTGGAATCCATTTTACTAAGCATGTTCTTTTATTGTGTTAAAGATAGCACCCAACTGGTCTAATCTTGTTTCTCATAAACACTTATGGCTGACCCTACCACCACCCAACCTAGGCCCAGTGTCCCAGCATCTCTTGGTCTACAACATGGGGCATATGACAGATCTTGGTGACCTGAGGGGCAGAATTGGGGTTAGAGCGGTTTGGGAAGCCCAAAGAGGTTACTTGTCCATGCGAGCCCAGGCCATCCCTGCCCCCTCTCAAGAAGACATGTCGCGTGGCCTGAGACTTACACTTCTATGTGCCATTTATTTGACACTTAGTATTTATCTTTTTTGCAGGTAGTTTTTTTTTAAGGGGAGAAAGGATTGATTCCAGAAACTGTGGGCTGGCTTGAGAGTGATATCTAGTAAAATTCCAGTATAGGTTTTTAGAGATGGTTTGTAAACATTTAGAAAAAACAAGTAAAAGCCAGTATGGGTTCATAAACCATTCCAAGCTATGCTGATATCCTTTTCTGGAAGGATTACTAGACTGATAAATCAGGGAAATTCACTGGACATAGTATATTTCAGCAGCTTATTTAACCAAATGTTGTATGATGTCCTTTGGATGAGAGGAAAAACACAGTTGAGTGTATTTATAACTGATCATTCTGGAGTTCCCAAGGAATATCGATTAATGAACCAATGTCACACTAGAGGGAGGTCTCTAGATGCTCTGCCCTAGACTGTATCCTGTTAAACATTTTAAACACCTAGAAAATATGAGATGTACGCAACATTGAGAGAGTGAGTGAATATGATACAACAGGGCATTCTGAGGGAGGACAAAGAGAGGCATGTGCTACTCAAATCTAAGCATCACCCTTACCTTGACTACCACTCCCTTTCAGGCCTTGAAGGAGGCAGGCCAGGACCCTAAGCCCAAGAACCTGGGAGTAGCAGGGGGCCCTCTCTATCCCACCCCACCCCCCAGACCACTGACTTTCATTGTGGAGCAGCCTCTATGAAGGAGCCATCCATCTCTACCAACAGCCATTGATGGGGCAGGCCAGCCAGCCTGGTAGAAGTCCATGGCCTCCAACCAAATGACTTGACCAATCTATAGACATACAACTAGGCTGAGGAGACACAGAATAAATCAGGGGTGATACAGAATGGAAGGATGAATGGATGGGGGAGTAAGTCCAACGTTGGGAGAGGGAGGTGCAAAGTTAGGAGATTGATGAAGGTGTACGTAGTGGGGCACAGTGACTAAGTTATATTTAGAACATTCTAGAAACAAATTAAACATGTCTTTTCTGTTGTCCTGCCTAGAAACAGCATTCTCTGCCACAGCTGACCATTGTTTGTTCATTGTAGCAGTTTCTGGGCAGGCCTTTGCAGCAGCGCCCTGCTTTCTAGAAATGTCCTGATTCCATATTTTCTGCTTTCTGAGTTTCTAGAGCACAAGGGCAGTCATCTCATCTGGGAAGGCCTTCCTCCAGACCTATGAGTATGAGGTAGTTAACATTCTTGCCCAGGGTCACGCAGCTAGTAAGTGTCAAGTGTCTGATCCAGATTTGAACTCAGGTCTTCCTGACTCTAAGGCCAGAGCTCTATCCACTGCGCCATCTAGGTGCCACATAAAGATAATTTTTAACATTCATCTAAAACATTTTTTTTTTAGTTCCAAATTTTCTTCCTCCCTCACTCTATGCCTATTTTATCCCTCCTTCCCTGGAGTCACCTTAGAACTCTGTATTTAAAAAAAGAAAGAAAGAAAGAAAGGAAAGAGAGAGAAAGAAAGAAAGAAAGAAAGAAAGAAAGAAAGAGAGAGAGAGAGAGAGAGAGAGAGAGAAAGAAAGAAAGAAAGAAAGAAAGAAAGAAAGAAAGAAAGAAAGAAAGAAAGAAAGAAAGAAAGAAAGAAAGAAAGAAAGAAAGAAAATAAAAAAGAAAACCTCTGTATTTCTCCTGGTTCTTTTTCATTCTTGGAGAATTAGTCATAATTAGAACCACCCAAAAGTCTTAGGTTGCCTCAAGAGTGCATAGGTTCTCCTTCATTGGGGATCTCCCAGCAAAGGCAGGATGACCATTTGTTGGGGAGGGCATGGTGGGAGTTCTTTTTCTGGTGAAAAATCGGGACTTGATGAGCCCCACGTCCCATGCAATGCTAATGGTCTGAGATTTTGTGGAAAACAAAGGGAAACAAGTTCCACATCTCCCCTTCTCCCCCTCAATCCTTCCATCTTTGGGAAATTCTTCTTTTTATTTTAATTAAAATTTTTTGTTACATTTCAAGTGCCGAGTTGTCTCCCCGGTTGCCTCTCCTTCCACTACATTCCCTTCCCATTTGGAGGTCTCTGTCATCACCCATCACAGTGAGAGCCTGGAGCTAATCACCTTTGCATTGAAGACCTGCAGCCCTTCCAAGGTGGCCCTCTGGCCGGGAGCTCTAACTGTAGGTACATTGCTTGACTCAGAGACCTGACCCATCCCCTCTTCTTGCTTCTATATTGACTCCAGGGACAAGGTGCCTTATCTGAGAGGCTCCGGAGCTTCAGCATGCAAGACCTCACTACCATCCGAGGTGATGGGGCCCCTGTCCCCTCTGGCCCACCTCCCTCAGCAACTGTGCGGACCAGCAGCAAACACGGCCAGCCCAAAATGTCCAGAAGTGCATCTGAAAGTGCTGGGAGTTCAGGTAGGTGGAACTCTTCCTCTTCTCTCCTGAAATGCATTCCTTCATCTCATTGGATGGAAGTAAAAGCGGTAGCTGGTGAAACGGAGCTGTCCAAAATCCAGAGACGGACTCGGCTCCCACCCGGTGGCCTTGCTCTCCAAGTAAGCCACATGACAGGGACACAGGATAAGGAGTCCACTCAGCAGGTGAGGAGGCAAGGACCATCTTTAGAAAGGAAATCACTTCTGGAAGTCCTCTGGAAATGCTGTGGGCTAGAAAGGATTGAGCCTTGACCTGGGGTTGTCTTCTTGAAAGACAGAGGGGAAATAGAAGCAGATCAGGTGAAGCTGGGAGATCAGGAGAGATTGAGAAGCAAGGCTGGCCTGTGGCCAAATTGTGGCTTAGCTGGCCATGAGGGGTTCTGTGTCCTCCTCTCTCCCATGGCATCCCACATCCATCCCCTAGGACCCACTCCAGGGACCGTCTACCCTTGACCTGGACACCCAGAGCTCTACTCAGTACCCTTATCCACTGCTCACCCAGATCGTCTTCTTCCCATTTCCCTCCATCCCAACTGAAATTCATCTGCCCCCAGCACATCCTCTCTGTGCTGGAAATGTCAGTTCATCTGATAAACTGATTCCAGCTCTTGGCAGAGTCCATTCCCAGGTGATTAAGCAGGACCTTCTGGAGACAATGTGCCCACCCAAGTCTAAGTCATCAGTGACACTCGTGGTAGAAATGTATGCAGTGTTTTCAACTCCAGTGAGGAAGACCATGCTGGGGGAGGGGTCCTAGTGTGCCCCCCTGCAAAGGATCAGATCTGGCACTAGGATTAGGAGGAGTGCAGTGGAGCACCACAAAGGATTTCCTTTTCTTGGGAACACAACCCTTATGCCTTTGAAATCTTCTCTGCCCTACTGTGGCAAGGTTCTCAGTAACTTAGCTCTCTGTCTCTATGTATGTATGTATGTATATATTCCTCTCTCTGTCTCTCTTTATACATGTGTGCGCACACACACACACACACACACACACACACAAACACATTTAAATATCTTTTTTTGGTTTGGCTTTTGATCTGAAAATGTGATTTCATCTGTGAAAGGACCTCCTAGTGTGTAAACTCCCTCCACCAACGCAGATCGTCAATCTGCCGGCAAATGACAATTTTAGAGAGTTGCCAGGGGAATTAAGAGGTAAGTGTCTTGGCCACAGTCACGCGGTCATTAGCAGAGCTTGAACTCAGATCTTGTAGACTCGAAGGTCAGCCCTCTATCTGCTGTGCAGCCTCTCAGTTCCTTATTTAGTATGGATCATGTATAGTCCCAAGTAGCACATACTCTCCTTGAGGGCAGAAGAAGGGAATAAACATTTCTGTTAGTATGTACTGTGTGCCAGGCACTGTGCTAAGCACTTTACAAGTATTACCTCATTTGCTCCTCATAACAACCCTGGGAGGTAGGCACAGTTATTATCCCCCATTTTATAGATGATGATACAGAACTTAAGTGACCTACCCAGGGGCACACAGCTAGGAAGTATCTAAGGCTGGATTTGAACTCAAGTCTTCTTGACTCCAGCCCAAGTACTCTATCCACTGTGCCACCAGCTGCCTAGAGATGGGACACATTCTATCTTTGTGTCCCCAAATTAATTATGCCCAATTAATACCTTTCACACAGGTGCTTAATAAATGTTTCTTTTTGTTGATGTTGGCAGATTACTGGTGCACACAGTAATAATAATAACAGAAACAGCGAGCATTTACATAGCACTTTAAGGATGCAAAGAGCTTTCCAAATGTCTCTTTTGATTCTCCCAACAACCATGTTTCGCGAGGTGCAATTACAAGTAGCTAGCACAGTGAGTGAAGTATTCAACTGGGAGGCTGGAAGTTCTGAGTTCAGATCTAGCCCCAAGAACCTACTAGGGCAGGTCACTGAATCGCATTGTGCCTCAGTTTCCTCATCTGTAAAAATGGGGAAAATAATAGCACCTCCTCCCTAGGCTGGTTGTAATATTTATAAAGCACTTGGCCAATTTTAAAACGTTATAAAAATGCTAGCTATTATTATTATTATTACTTATTATTATCCCCACTCACACCAAAATCCATGATCCTATGATCTTATGAACTTACATTTTACAGATAAAGAAACTGAGGCCTGGAGAATTTTAATGGCTTGCCTAGGGTTACATAGTGAGTAAAGAATGGACCTGGGAGGAGAAGCCAGGTTTCTCTGACTCCTAACTTCAGGATTTTCTACCGTGGAAGCTGGTGAGAAGGGGCAGAGAAAGCAGTGGAGCCAGCTTCGACACATCGTGCCCAGTACATACTAAAAATACCTTAACGTATGTTTGTTGATTGACTGGTGGATATATTATTCCAGTAGTAATAATAGCTAATATTTATAAAGAACTTACTATGTGCTGGTCACCACAGTAAGCACTTTAGAAATCATTATCTCATTTATTATGCTCACAACAACCTGGGAGGTAGATGCAATTATTACCCCCATTTTACAGATGAGGAAACCAAGGCACTTAACACCTAGATGAGTTGCCCAGGGGTGACCCCAATAGCAAACATCTGATATGGCATTCGTATGCTCTGTTACTTACTAGCCTCACTATGCCAAGATGCTTCCCAGAGGCATGAAGGAAGCTGCCTTTGGAGATTGCTCTGCTGAGCAGTCTGGCATCCTGGGGATTTTCTCAGCCTGGCTGGTGGCAGCTGTCCCACTTGCCTGGGGTGGGGGACCATACAAGGACAGAATTGCTTGTAGTGGCCGCAGCCCAAAATAAAGCATCTCTGGACTGTCAGGCAGCGTCCACAGGCCAGGGCCGGGAGCAGGCACTCAGGCCTCAGCGAGGTGGAAGGGCTCCCTGAGGTAATCCGAGGGGTTGGCAGGAGACCCTCGTGGTTCTTGCACCAGGCTGTGTCCTAAGCAGGGGCCACAAAGATGGTCATAGAATTAGAGTCTGGAGAGGTCTTGGGTTAAGCCCTTCTGATCCAACCCCTTCAATTTGCAAGTGAGGAAAACTCTGACCTGTGAGGATTAAGGGGCAAGTCCCAGGTCACTGGAGGGCTCTTTCCACGTCAGCACAATGCCCCCTTATGCAGTGAGGGGCTAGGCTGATTCCGGATGTCCCATTTGGAAGGCTCTGAGCTTCATTGGGCCAGGATGTGTAGAGAAAGCCAGGTGACACATTGGATAGGAGGCTGGGCCTGGAGTCAGGAAGACCTGAGTTCAAATGCAGCCTCAGACACTTACAAGCTGTGCAAGTGACTTAATCTTTGTCTACCTCAGCTTCTTCATCTCTAAAATGGCTGTTAATAGTAGCACCCACCTCCCCAGGGTTATTGTGAGAATAAAACTAGGTAATATTTGTAAATCACTTGGCAAACCTTTATTATTAGTAGTAGTAGGAGGAGGAGGAGGAGGAGGGAGGAGGAGTGGTAGTGGTAGTGGCAGTGATAGTGGAAATGGTAGTGGTGGTGGTGGTGGTGGTGGTGGTTAGTAGTAGTAGTAGTAGTAGTAGTAATGATGACCTATCGTTCCTTCTAAATTGTAAGACATCCATCCAGAGCCTCCAAAAAGCAGCCCAATAAGAGGGACCTGGTTTTTCACCATGCCTTTAATGTTGAGCCTGTTTTTTCTCCAATATTCCTTATGCATATCAAACAGGCAGCAACATTATTTGAGGAAAGCTAGGGAAGGTTGGGTCAGCCCTGTCCAAAAATTGCTTTTTTTCCATTTTATTTTATTTTTAATTTAACAAGTATGTATTACTAGGTGTGAGACCCTGACCAAGTCACTTCACCCTGTTTGCCTCAGTTTCCCCATCTGTAAAATGAGCTGGAGAAGGAAATGGCAAACCACATCAGTATTTTTGCTAGGAAAACTCCCAATGGGGTCACAAAGGTTGGGACACACACAACTGAAATGACTGAACAACAACAAATTTTCTCTCCTTCCTCCCGCCCAATTTAGAAGAAACAAAGACAAATAAAACCCTTGGAACAAATATGCACGGTCAAGCAAACCACATTGGCCATGTCCAGAAATGTGTATCTCACCCTGCTCCCTCAGTCCACCACTTCTCTGTTAGGAACTGGGCAACAGGCTTCACCACCCATCCTCTGGAATCATAGTTAATCATTGCATTGGTCAGAGTTCTTAAGATCTTCAAAGTTATTTGTCTTCCCAATTTTGCTACGGTATATTCTCCTGGTTCTTCTTACTTCACTCTGCATTGGTTCATACAAGTCTTCCCAGGTTTCTCTGCATCCATCCCCTTCGTCATTTCTTACAGCACAAAAATATTCCATCACATTCATATGTTGTAATTTGTTCAACCATTCTCCAATCGATAGGCATCACTTGGTTTACAATTCTTTGACACTACAAAAAGAGCTGCTATAAATGTCTTTGTACAGATGGGTCCTCTTCCGCTTTGATTTCTTTTTTTTTTTTTTTCTTTTTTTTTTCTTTTGGTAAGGCAATTGGAGCTAAGTGACTTGCCCAGTGTCACATAGCTAGTGTCAAGTGCCTGCATCCAGATTTGAACTCAGATCCTCCTGGAGCTCTATCCACTGCGCCACCTAGCTGCCCCTTTTGATTTCTTGAGAGTATAGATCTATTAGTGGTATTGGGGATTCAGAGTAGGGGGAATTTTCTTTACCCAGGGAATTGGAAGGGATTGGGAAGACCAGGGCTCCTGCGTGATTTCAAGAGTCCTGGTGTCCCCGTCCCTCCCCTTTTTTCTACTTGTAAATGAAGTCCAAGATTAGCCTGGGGGAAAGGAGTGGGTTGGCAAGCAGAGGAAGGGCTCTGCTTTAGGAAGAAGTAGGCAAGGATTCTCTTCCTGGAAAAAGAGTATTAAAGAGTTTTTTAAAAATCCTACAGGCAGCTAGTTGGTGCAGTGGATAGAGCACTGGCCCTGAAGTCAGGAAGACCGGAGTTCAAATCAGGCCTCAGACCAAACACTTGACACGTACTAGCTGTGTGACCCTGGGCAAGTCACTTAACCCCAATTGCCTAAACAAACAAACAAACCTAGAAGGGGGCAAAAAGCATGGGAGAGTCTGCTTTCCAGATGCCTCTGCTCTCCTGTCCTTCCCTGATCCCTTCAACTAGAATTGATGTCTCCTGCCTCTGAGCTCCCAAAACATGAGATCGTAGATTTAAATCTGGAAGAACCATCTAGTCCGTTCCCTTGTTTTACAGAGAAGGAAACTGAGGCCCAGGGATTGGACAACACACGGTGAATTCTAGTGCTGGAATCAGAACCAGGTCCTTTGGTTTCCAATTCGGCTCTCTTTCCGTGGCCCCAGACTGCCTCTTTACTCTGAGGGTGGGGTAGATGAGAAGGAAGGGCCTCTTGACCTCGGTGTGAGGAGGGGGACACCAGGAGGCTGGGTGATGGGGCTAGCTAGGCTAACGGAAGCTAAGGCAGCTCCAGAACCCTGGCTTTATCAGGCAGTGTCTTGGAGCTGGGGGGAGGGAGGGCCAGGGCATCTGAGCAGTGAGCATCTGCCAGAGCTGGCTAGGGCTCAGGGTGATTTTTAGACATACATGGTATCGAGCTGCCCAACAGCCCTGCTCCTGACTCATCCTTCCAGCTGAGAGAGGGAAACAGCAAGTCACGGACAGACCCAGCGTCCTGTGATTGAAGAGCCTCGCTCCTCTCTGCTCTCAGAGCAGCCTTTGCCTTCTGGAAACTCTCTTGGGATCTGGATTTTCGGCTTTTCTTTCCCATGAGTTCTTGCTCCTGCTGTGTCCATTCAAGGGAGAAATTCTAGGGCAGCTGTTGCTGCTGGCTCCTTACAAGTGATTCATGATGGGGGCAGCTAGGTGGCATAGTGGATAAGAGCACTGGCCCTGGAGTCAGGAAGACCTGAGTTCAAATCCTGTCTCAGATGCTTACTAGCCATGTGACCTTGGGCAAGTCACTTAGCCCTGATTGCCTCAAAAAAAAAAAGATTCATCATGGGGCTTAACCTTCATGGGGTTGATAGCCCTAGAAAAGCATCTTTTTTATTTTTTAGGCAATTGGGGTTAAGTGACTTGCCCAGGGTCACACAGCTAGTGAGTGTCAAAGTGTTTGGTCTGAGGCCAGATTTGAACCCAGGTCCTCCTGACTTCAAGGCCGGTACTGTATCCACTGCTCCACCTAGCTGCCCCTGAAAAGCATCTCTTAACAGTAGAAGCTGGGTGGGTTCAGGGGCTCTAATGCCTCTTGGGCTGTTGGGGCCAAGGGCATCCTTGTGAATCCTCTTCATGATCCAAACAGTTAACCATGAATAGGATAGGGATGGGGACTGCATCTGTGATTTCAGTAATCTAGAGAACTCTCAGATAAAGAAACTCTTTCCACCTAGGCAGGTTGGCACCCTCCCTGCAACTTGGAATTTTAGAGACGCTTAGAGAACTGAGGGAGTGTAACATACCCAGGGTATAGAGCCAGAAAGGATAAAAGGCAAAACTTGAACCCAGGTCTTCTAGCCTTGAGAACAGCTCTATCGACTACCCCAAGGTACCTCTATTAACCATTAATAGCTAGAGGGTGACGGGGATGTTCATAATATAGTGCTTCAAGGTGGGTAAAGCACTTTGCCTGTATCAGAAATTCTTAACCTGGAGTCCACAGATAGATTTCAGGGGATCTATGAACTTGAACAGGAAAACATGGTGTCTTTATTCCAAAATAATTGGCTTCCTTTATAAATATATATATTTTATCTCATGCATTTAGCAGTGTGATTCTAAGGAGTCCATAGACTCAGCCAGAATGTCACCCAAAGTGTCCAAGACACAGAAAGGGGTTAGGAAACGCTGGGCTAGATGAAACCATCTTCAATGTGCTATCTACAGCTGCCCAGGCCATTGACTTGAATTCAGAGTACGTGTGGGAGTAAGTGTGTGTGTGTGTGTGTGTGTGTGTGTATCTGTGTGTGTGTCTATATTTGTCTCTGTGTTTCTGTGTCTGTGTGTGTATCTGTGTGTCTATGTCTGTGTTTGTGTATCTGTGTGTGTGTCTGTGTGTGTGTCTATGTGTGTGTCTGTGTGTGTGTGTCTACATCTGTTTGTGTGTGTGTGTCTGTATCTGTGTGTGTCTATATGTCTCTGTGTTTCTGTGTCTGTGTGTGTCTCTGTGTGTCTGTCTATCTGTGTGTCTATGTCTGTGTTTGTGTGTCTGTGTGCGTGTCTGTGTCTACATCTGTTTGTGTGTGTGTGTGTCTACATTCCAGGGCCAGCTAAAAACACATTTTGGATTCATTGCTGTTTGTTCTTTGTGCTTTTCATGATTGCTGCAGCCCCTGCTGCCCTCTATTAGGCAATTAGGGGGAGAGTGTGTCAGACCTGGAGTTAGGAAGACCTGAATTCAAATCCAGCTTCGGACCATTAATTTCCTTAACTATAAAATGGGGATAATAAGAACACCTACCTTTCAAAGTTGTTGTGGGGATATCCTATGTAAAGCGCTTTGCACATCTCCAAGTGCTCTGTAGAAAGGCAATCTCCCATGATTCCTATCATTTATCATCATGAGCACTGGTGGCAGGCTCCCTTAGGACACCCCCATTTTTCCAAGGGCTTCTCGAGGCTGTAGAGTCAAGTTCTCCCCTTTGGGGCTCAGACCTGGGAGGACCCTGGATAAACCCTAGCTCAGCAGGTGGATTGTGCAGAGGGTGAGCTCTGCTGAAATGTGACCATTTTCTCCTCATTACTTCTTCCCTTTGACTTGTGGCTTAGGGGGCTGGGAGGGAGTGGTGGGATAGGGCAGGACATAGCAATGGGCTGACCCAGGGGCCAGGATTGAAGCCATACAGGCTTTAAATAGAAGCCCCCTCCAGGAAAACGTCAGCTATGGTAAACATGACCCAGGGCGCCATCATAGAAACTCCTGGCCCTGGAATGGTTATTATTAGCAAGCTCTTCCTTCCACTGAGTCTAAATCTGACTCTGTCATTTCCACCCATTCTGCCCTCAGGAGCTATGTAAAATAAACTTAATTCCCCTTCCATTTGATAGTTCTGGGGCAGGGGAGGAGGTGCTGTCATGAGACCAGAAATCAGAGATTTAGAGCAGGATGAGACCTAAGAGGGTAGGCATATAACCTACCCATTTTATAGATGAGCAAACTGAGCCCTGGAAAGGTCAAGCGACTTGTCTCCAGTCCTCCAGGTAGTGAGTGACTATGGTGGTAAGGTAGAGCCCAGGTCCTCTGACTTAGAATTTACTGTACTATGGTACCTCTGTGTCTTCCCATAGTTAAAGGTTCTAGGGGTTAGGCCAAGGCCCAGGCTGGGGATTCTTTAGGGAAAAGTCTGGCAAGAGCCATGTAGGTGAACTTGGGGCTCAAGCTTGGGGTTGGGGTTGGCTCGGAAGTGGGATTGTCTTCTGGGGCAGCCCTAATGTATTTCTCCTAAAACAATATAAATATAATAGAAGATGGTTGTGTCTCTGCCCTTCGGGACTTTTGGGGCTATGGGCTTACACATCGGGATCAGAGAGGAAGACAAAATGGCATCCAGTTATGTGTTCATTTGTGTGTGGTGATCAGTGTGATGAGAATTCCGAGGAGAGTGAGGCAGCATGGGTGTGGGCTTCTGTTGGGCTTACAGAAGGGGGTGGGCCCCATGGGAGAGGTGGGATGTGAGCTGGGCCTTGGAGATTTCATGGGATTACCTACTTCTGGTGATTCACTTGGGTACAAATCTACCAGGGGTGGTGGGGAACACAGAGGGTAGCAGGAAAAGTGCTAGAATTATGTGACAGAGGCTCAAGGTTCAAAGCAAGCCAACTCAGTTCCCTAGGCCTCTTTCTTCATCAGTAGAAAAGGGAGGAGGGCATTCTAGGCTCAGCAAGAGAACAATAATAATAACAATAATAATAATAATAATAACAACTAGCATTTATATAGTGCTTTAAGGTTTTCGAAGCACTTTACAAATGTTATTTTATCCACCCAACAACCCTGGGAGGTAGGTGCTATTATCTCCATTTTTCAGTGGAAGAAACTGAGGTAGTCAGAGGTTGCATGACTTACCTAGGGTCACACAGCCAGTAAATGTGACTTCCTGACTCGAAATCCAATGCTCTATCCCTTTCTTCTGTTCCTCACATGGCTCAAAGGCAAGGCTCCTCCCCATCCTGGCTGCCCTCCTCTGGACCTTCTGCAGCTCACCCTCCCAATGCTTTCTAGGCTCCTCTGGGCAGTGTGACTCCGGAGATGTGTAGGCTCATAGATTTCCATCCAGAAGGGACCTTCTCAGCTACTCAATCCAACAGTCTCATTTCCTAAGAATGAGGACAGAGTTCCCAGAGCCTACTTTGGGGGGTATTGGATGGTAGTGTTTCTAAACTCTCATTTCAGCATCGCTTTGGGGTCACAAAAGGTTTTACAGGAATTTCAAGGAGGATACGCCATTCAGCCACCGTGCCCGTGTCTCTCTCATGCCCCCATTCTACTCAAGAAACTGAGGCCCACCTGGAAAGACTAAATGACCTGGCAGATCCCTCATGAGGAGTAAAGTAGGATTTGAACCAGGTCTTTTGACCCCAAATCGATCCCTCTTGCCCCTCTGTCATGGGTCTCATGCCCTCCTCTGCTCCCCAGAGCATCACTGATGGCCGATTTGTTCTGTCTCCAGTGTGTACCTGCTGCTCCTCATGTAGGACCCGGAAAGGTGAGTGGGAGGGACCCAAGGTCCCATCCTCTCTGCTCTGTAGTGGCCTGATGGCTGTGACGTTTCTAACCTGACCTTTGGACCCTGATAACTGGGGGCCCCTGTCAGCTGTGTGGTTCTTGTGTTGTGCTTTGTGGGAGGAAGAGGAATCCTGGTTCTTCCATAGCTCCCCATATCTATCCCTTTGTGTCTTGAAGAAGGGAGCAGAGGTAGTCTTACAGGGACGGGGCTGCCTGACTTGTCTAAAATGCCCTGAGGTGGGCATGGGTACTCTGGTAACTCATGGGGGGTGGAGGCTGGAGGAACCAGGGCACTTGGGCTTCTCCAAGTCCTACAGATGCCACAGAGAATGTCCACCAGAGCCCCCTGTGCATTGGGAGTCTGTGGGCTAGAGCCCCAATTTCTCTGTACTTAGAAGGAGCAAGCCCAGAATTTCTCAAAGCCTCCATTCTAAATGGGGTTGGAGAACCCCAAAACCAAGCCTCCTCCTGCTTCTGGGAGGCCCAGTGTAAGTAGTGATCCCCTATCAGCACAGCATCCTAGCAGATGCATCCCAGACCCCAGGGTTCTCCTCTCCATCCCCCCTGCCACGCCCCACGTGCTCACCATGTGGCTCTAACAGTTTGGAGCGTTGAGTTTGCCGAGCTAATGAGCAGCCTGCCTTCCTCTCCCCTCCCCCATTTCCCTCCCCTCCCTCCACCAGCCCTGCACCACAGCCGAACTCATTGGCATCCTCTAGCTGCTTGAGATGGCTTTGACCGCATGAGAACAGATGGAGGAAAGGGTGGGGCTGGGGACGCTGCCATCCTGAGCAGGGAAGGCTGTAGACACATAATTCTGGGGGCGTGGGCTTTCCAAGGGGAGAGAGACCTCCCTCCTTTCTCTTTAGCTGCCCCTTTCCCACCCCCTCCCCCTTGTCCCCTGCCTTCCTCTCTCTCCTTCCCCACGTACCCCAACCCTACTTTCCTTAGTGGTTTAAGAATCTGTGGCATTCCACCTGTGGACAAGAAACCATGGGCCCTGGATCTTTCAGGTTACTGTGAATAATTGCTTTCTCAATTGATAGACTTTTTGATGGTTTGATGATTTGTATGAGTGTACCAAGCTATAAATTTTCAGGAAAATCCTCATGCTTCCTGATCCTCATTAAAATCCTTTCTCCTTAAAAATCAACCGAACAAAACCGGTCTGTGGCTGTTTATGGGGTGTGCAGCAAGTCTGCGTTTCAGGAGAGTCTGAACCTGTAATTTCTTCCATGCAAAGAACTCCCCACATGGAAATTCCCTCCAACAATGCAGATCTGGAACTCATCTGTGACTTATAGAGCCTTAGAGAATTTCCTGGGGTCAATGAGAGGAAAAGTGACTTTCATTAAAGAAGCATTTATTTTTAGTATTTATTAATATATATTTTTACATCTCTTTCATTTCTAAATATATGCCCTTTCCCCTACCCAGAGAACTGTCCCTTGTAACAAAGAATAAAAAAGAAAGGGGGGGGGAGAGAAAACAGTTCATTGAAATTAACCAGCCTGAAATTAACTGAGTCTGATAGTAGATGCAGTGTTCCACACCTCTGGTCCCCCACCTCTGCAAAGAAGGGAAAGAAAGACATTTTTATGTCCCTTTGCCTAGATAGCTAGGTGGCACCACACATAGAGTGCTGGATTTGGAGTCAGGAAGACCTGAGTTCAAATCCAACTCAGATACTTATCAGCTGTGTGACCCTGGACAAGTCATTTAACCTTTGCCTCAGTTTCCTTGACTATGAAACAGAGATAAAAATAGCGCCTGTCTCCCAGGGTTGTTGTGAGAATCAAATGAGCTGTTTGTAAAGCGTTTTGCAAACCAATTGTCCAATATACCTTTTGTATACGCATTGGTCCAGAGGGCACTGAGGTCACTTCCATGTCTCCAATTTTGTGACTCTCACTGATGCTATCTGTCAAAACTTTAGGCTCCTAGAGCTGGTAGTAGAGAGAGGTTGGGAGAATCCTCAGATGTTGGTCTAGTTCTTTGCCTTCAGGCAGTTCAGGAGTTAAAGCATTTGCAACAGATGGTCAGTCATTTTTTAAAACGCCCTTTCTCTTCCCCCCAAAGAGACCCTTTTCTCTTCCCTTTCTAGGCCATTTCTGCATTCTGGCTCCGGCTTTAAGTTTTTCTGGTCCCTGCATGTCTATTAGAAGTGATGGCCCAGGTCTCAGAGGGGTTGGTATGCACAGGAGAGCTAACAGTCAGCAAAATGAGCCACTGTTTGCAACAGGCAGGACTAGCCTAAGCACCTGTCTTGGGCCAGAAGAGGAAGGGGAGCAAGAGTGCACCATCATTTGGGTCTCCTCCAGCCGCCACTGAAGGGGACTGTCTCTTTCAACAGGGAAACTGAGAGCATTTGATTAGAGTAACAGAGTGGATTGGAGCCTGGGCATCTGGAGTGAACCTTGGCTTTCCATCTTAGCTGATTCACCTTCTTTCCTCCTTCCCTTCCCCTGCCCCTTCTCCTTTTCCCTTTCTCAATTGCCCTTTTCCTCTTCTCTCATTCCCCTGGACCAAATGATGTTCTCTTGATTTGGGAGATTAGGTCTTTAGTTGTCTGTACCCTGATGCATATAGAAATTCCTAAACTCTAGGAGGGTGAGGGTACAGAGGATGGTCAGAAGTGAGGAGTGAAAATGGGGAGAAGGTAGGAGTGTAGTTATAGAGGTGGATAGGTTGGTGAGCTGCTTGGGGGAAGTATCTTTGTCTAGAGCAATGATGTCCAACTCATAGAGACCTCAGTCACTAAGCTGCACTTAAAGATCACTACTGGCTGCGGATCAACTTAGAAAAACACAAATTAACATTGTCTATGTCTTAGTGTATTTTTATTTATTTTGTTAAATATTTCCCAGTTATATTTTTAAAAATACTATTTTATTTTCCCCCAGTTACATGTAAAAACCTTTTTTGACATTGTGGGACGGGAATCCTATAATAATAATAATAAGGAATAGATTCAATGCAGCACTTTAAAGTTTACAAAGCACTTTACATCACATATACTATCTCATTTGATCCTGTGAAGTAGGTGCTATTATTATTATTTCCCTTTTACTGATGAGGAAGCTGAAAATGTCTTGGGCAGGATTTGAACTCGGATCTCTCCAGTACTCTATCCATTTCAGCCACATAGCTGCCTTATTATGGGTGGTACCTTTTGGTTAGAGTTTGTCCCTGGCTAGAGAGGACAGAGCGGAACTCTTGTATTGGTAGGTAAAGTATGCATATGAGCCACCAGGGGGCAGGGGAAAGAGAAATGCGTTTGAAGTCATAAGACTTGGGTCCAAATCTCAGCTTTGCTATTTACTCCCAACCCCCCCACCCCCTTTTTTTACCTTGGGTAAGTTGTTTAACCTCTCTTGGCCTCAGTTTTCCCATCTGTAAAATGAGGGGGTCCAATAAGATGACTTCTGGGGTCCCCTCTTTTGCCTCAGTTTCCTCACCTTGCCTATTTCAATGCTTAGCTTCCTTCAAGGCTCAGCTCAAGTCTCCCCTCCTGTGGGAAGCCTTTCCTGGTCTCCCTCCCTACTCGCTAGGGCTCTCTCTCCCCACCTCAAACCGTCTTGTATTTACTTATCTTTGTAGGTGTTACATTCTCTGTAGAATGTAAGCTTCTGGAGGGCAGGGACTTTTTTTTCTTTTTTCTTTTTTTTTCCCCCTCATCAATTGGGTACTTACTTAATTCTAGCTCTTTCTTTTATATATATATACACATATATGTATGTATATGTATGTATATGTATGTATGTATATACGTGTATATGTATATATGTATGTATATGTATGTATATATATGTATGTATGTGTACACATATATGTATATATATTAAACATTTGTTTATTTATTTTTAGTTTTCAACATTCACTTCCACAAGATTTTGAATTCCAAATTTCCTCCCAATCTCATTTCTCCCCCAACCCCAAGACAGCGTACATTTTGAATGCCCTTTAGCCTAATCTGCCCTCCCTTCTATCACTGCCTCCCTTCTCTTATACCCTTCCTCTTCTTCCTGTTGGGCAGGATAGATTTCTACGCCCCATTGCCTGTATATCTTACTTCCCAGTTGCATATGAAAACAATTTTTAACATTTGTTTTTAAAATTTGGGGTTCCAAATTTTCTCCCTTCCTCCCCCCCACACTGAGAAGGCAAGCAACTCAATACAGGTTATACACATGTAGTCACGCAAAACACTTCCATAGTAGTCATATTGTGACTACTATATTTCCCTTCATCTTATCCCACCCACCATTTATTCTATTCTCTCTTTTAACTCTGTCCCTCCTCAGAAGTGTTTGCTTCTGAAGCAGGGACTGTTTTTGCCCTTTCTTTGTCTCCCTAGTGATTAGTACAGTGCCTGGTATACAGTAAGTACTTAATAAATGCTTATTGATGATGGTAATGATGCATATCCCTCTTAGCTCTAAATGCCATGATGCTCTGTGAGCTCTGTGATACCCTCTATCTCTAACATTTGGTGATTCTGACTCTCTTATTTCAAAAGGTCATGGTAATAGGACCAGCCTGAGAACCTGGCATAGCCAGTGGTGGCTTTGGCACCATGTCTTAGAGTTACAAAAAGTTGCATCTTAAAGAAATGATCTGTTTTAGTGATACAGATGTCCTGGGTACACAACTGTAGGGAAACCCTAAAGTTTGCACTGTTGGAATAAATTGTAACAACAAGTAAAAACTAACTCAGTTACCCATTTTCCAGATAAGTCAGAAAGTCAACAGGCATCTATTAAACACTTAATATGTTCTAGGTGCTGTGTGCTAAGGATACAAAGATGGCAGAAACATGCTCCCTACCCTCAAGGAGAGTACATTCTGATGGGAGAGACAACTGGGTACATATGAGAACTATACAGAGTAGGTGAAAGGTCACCTCAGAGGGAAGGCACTAGCACCTGATTGGAGGGGGTGGGGGGGAAACCTCTTAAAGGAGAAGCCTCTCAAAGTACATAGGACTTGAACTGAATCTTAGAGAGGGAAACCAGGGAAACCAGGGAAACCAGGAGGCAGAAGTGAGGGTACAAAGCACTCCAGGCATAAGGCACAGCCATTGCAAAGGCTTGGAGATGAGAGATGAGGCATAGTGTTTGAGGAGCAGTAGGGGATTAACAAGGGATTATGTTAAGTATTACATACCAGCCTCTCCTTCACCCAGCCTCCCTTGATGCCATATCTCCTGCTTATGCCTCTCAAGTCTCTCTCTGCCTTGATTTACCTCTCTGCCTCAGCATCTCACTATGTATGTGACCGTGTATCTTCCTTTCATTTTCCTTTTTCTCCTAACAAGTCCTCTCCCCACCCCATACACAATTTAGAACTAAAATATATGTATTATTTCTTTGTGTATTTGTTAAATATAACTTCATTTTCCTTCTCATCATTTTAAAAAGCAAGCAATTGGAACTCACTTCTGCATCTAAAAATAGATTGATCAACCCTTCCCCTCAAAAAAAGGAGGGGAGGCTCTTTTTATTGATATGGATTTTACTTAGATGATTTTTTTCCCCCTTGAGTCACAAGCCCACAATAGAAAGAAAGGGAAAAGCTCCTTGATGCTAAAGCATGTGCGTATGGGATTTCTTCTAACAGTGTATTCTTTTCTTTTCTCTATGTAAATATCACGGGACTTTGACGTAAGTGCTCTGGATTTGCACGCGTTTCCTTTGACTCACTTACCACTGTGTGCGCGCTGGTTTTTCACTAACTAGTCTTGGATGGATTTGTGTTTGCTGAGCTGGGGACGTCCTGGGGTGGCGGAGGGGATGTGGCTGAGTAACCAAGGGGAGGGGACAGGGGAAGTTGAGGAGAGCACACTGCTTCCCTGGGAGCTAACCGGAAGATCTGAAGAGGTTTGAAGATGGGTTTGGGGCCTGTTGCTTGTCTGGCTGACATGTTTCCTAGCAAGGGTAAAATTTTCCTGAGCCCACAATAACAGAATGGACAAAACAGATATGCTTAAGTATAGACAGCAAAATTTTAAGTTGATTTGGGGGGGAGGGGCAGCCCCTCTGGGCTCTGATGTCACTAACTTAGGGCTTGGGACTCTAGGTTGTATCTCATAATAGTATCATGCACACACTTGATTTGTAGGCAAGGGGTCTTGAGTTCAAATCCTAACTTGGCCACTTACTAACTGTGTGACTTTGGGCAAGTCATATCCTCTCTTTAGGACTCGATTTCCTCATCTGTAAAAGGAAAGGGCTGAACCAAGTGATCTTCCCCCCCACACACACACTTCTCTCTCTCTCTCTCTCTCTCTCTCTCTCTCTCTCTCTCTCTCTCTCTCTCTCTCTATCTCTCTATCTATCTTTCCATCTTCCCTCTCTCCTTTCCTCTTTTTCTCTCCTTCCCTCCCTTTATTTCTTTCTTTTCCTCCTTCTCTCTACCCCTTTCTCTCTCTCTCTTTTTCCATCTTCTCCCTCTCTTCCTTCTCTCCTCCTCCTCTTCCTCTTCTTCTTCTTCTTCTTCTTCTCCTCTCTCTCTCTCTCTCTCTCTCCATCTCTCCATCTTTCCATCTTCCCTCTCTCCTTTCCTCTTTTTCTGTCCTTCTCTCCCTTTATTTCTTTTTTCCTCCTCCTCTCTACCCCTCTTTCTCTGCCTTTCCATCTTCCCCCTCTCCTCTTCTTCCTGTTCTTCTTTTTCTGTCTCTCCCTCTTTCCATCTTTCTATCTTCCCCCTCTTTCTTTGTTTCCATCACTTCCTCATTTCTCTCTCCCCTCCTTTTCTTCTTCTCTCTTCTCTCTCTCTCTCTCCCCTCCCACTTTCCATCTTCCCCCTCCCTCCATAGTAAAGTCACTGCACAGTCACACCTCTAGTAAGTTGACTGTAAATCAGTATTTCTCCACCCAAATCATCTAGGACAAGGGAAAAATATCAAAATTCTCTGATTTGGAAGAGGAGGGAAAGCGAGGAGCCGAAGGTCAGTCCAGAGTTGCCAGGATACGCCATTGGGCAACACCAATATGTCTAGACTCTTAGCTGCTCCATCCCTGGCGAGCTCTGAGGCTCAGTTAACACTATTGTGCTCTCATGCTGCCCCCTGTTGACTTCATCTTGGAAGAGCAAGAGGATGCAACAAACAGCCAGATGAGAATTGTATCCAAATTCTTAACGTTACCTTCCTTAATAAAAGCTTGTTCATTCTTTCAATTATTTCCCCATGGCTGGTGTTATTACAGTGTAGCAACATCTCTCTTAATAAAGAGGATGTAAGTCCTAACAGCACACCACGCTCCAGTGGTAGAGACTTTGCTACACAAAAGGCAGACAATAGGACATATAGGAATTTATTATATATTGCTGGTTGTCAGAAAAATGAGGGCGACTATTAAAATGTCATTCACAGGATCACAGATTTAGAGCTGGAAGGGACCTTACAGGTGGTCCAATCTAACCTCCCCATTTTACAGTTGAGGAAACTGAGGCAAACAGGGTGAAGTGACTTGCCCAGGGGCACATAGCTAGTGTCTGAGGCTGTATTTGAACTCAGGAAGAAGAATCTTCCTGACTTCAGGCCTGAAGCTCTATCCACTTCACCACTTAGCTGCCTATATTTGCCCATATAGGACAATAAGTTGGGAGGCCCCAAGAGATCCCTTTCCTTCCCTGGTCCCTGATATTTGATGCTCAAACTAGTGTAAAAAAATTAGTTTTCATGGAGATACTTATGTCATACAGGACTCAACAGGAGCTAGGGAATATGCTCATTAAAATCAATTGGTCAAGCATCAAGGCCGTCAACCACTAAACATATGAGCCATGGCCAAATTGGCTTCATGTGATGACTGACTCTGACTCATCACAAAGAAGCTTGCATCCCAGCAAATCGCTTAATAGAATGTCAGCTTGCTGAGGGCAGAGGCCATTTGGTTTTTCTGTTTGTATCCTTCCCAGCATAGTCCCTGAGGCATAGTAAGACCATTGATTATTAGAGCCTATGATCATTGATTTCGAGCCAGACGAGACCTTCAAATAAGAAAACAGACACTGGAAAGATAAGTCACTTGCCTACGATAACATGGCCTGGGGCAGGATTTAAACCCAGACGTTCTTTACTCTTAAGTCCCTAGGCAGTAGGCCATATTGCCTCTCTCAATTAATCACCCTAGACAGGACTTGAACCCACAAACTTTGGCTTAAGAGGCCAATACTTTATCCATGTGACTGCTGAAGCTTTTTTTCCACTTAATAAATGCTTGTTGGGTTAAGCTTACTGAACTCTAGATTCTGCAGATAATTTGTTCACTGAATACTGTCACTTGGTGAAAACTTCAATTTTTGTTGTAGGGAATATCGATTATATCTGGAAGGAGGAGCCACAGTAATTAAAAAAAAAAGGTCACTCACATCACCAGGAGATATTGGTCACACACACACACACACACACACACACACACACACAAAGATGATATGATTGTTGAATGGCCCAACTTCTGGGCAAGTCACTTAATTCATTTCAATTCAACAAACATTTATTAAGAACCTACTGTGGACCAGGTGGACAGCTAGGTGGCACAGTGGATACAGTGCCAGCCCTGCAGTCAGGAGGATCTGAGTTCAAATAAGGCTTTAGATACTTATTAGATGTGTGATCCTGGGCAAGTCACTTAACCCTGTTTGACTCAGTTTCTTCATCTGTCATGATCTGGAGAAGGAAATGGTGAACCATTCCAGTGTCTCTGCCAAGAAAACCCCAAATGGGGTCATGAAAAGTCCGACATGACTGAAACGACTCAACAACGATGAGTACAGGCACTGAGTCCCTCAGTTTCCTCGTCTGTAAAGTGAGAGGGAAGGGGGACTCAGCAAATTTCCCAGGTTCCCTGCTCTGATGACCTCTGGCTGTCTGAGGGTCACTTCAAGCTTCTAACCACGCATGGAGGATTGTGCAGAATGTGTACTCTAACACCGTGTGGTCTCACTCCTCCTGTGCATGAGGACACTGCCGACCTGACCTGTCCTCACTGTACTTTGTCTTCCTCCGTCTAGATTTTAAATGGACTCTAAGTGGTTGAGGGAGAGGTGAATGAGGGGGGTGTGAAGTTATGGAAGCCGCACCCACACCGGGACAAGGACCCATTGATATTCTCCGATGAGGAAGAGGAGGAGGAGGATCTGTTGGATTATATGTACAAGTTTAAAGCTCCCCGGAAGACGGAGACACCTCTGGAGGTACCTGGTGTCCCGTGTCTCAGTGGGAGAGACCACAAGTATTTCAAATGAGTCTCAAGGTCAAGGTTGTAGGATACGCTTTGCACCAAGATCCTGTTGGGTTGACTAGGGTCATTTTTATTTTGGACTAGACCAGTGATTTCCAATGCAGATCAGCATTAGTTCTGCAGGAGAGTTCTGCATGGAGAGGTTAGTGACTCATTCAGAGTCTCAGAGTGACTTACATGGTTCAGCTAAGGAATGGCCTTGGGGTAGAGGGCAGAAGATGTGCACTTTCTTTCAGGGCCTTACTGAAGGGAGGCATAAGGATAGGGCAAGGGATTGGGTTGGAAACTCTACCAGAGCAGGGCAGCCCCTTCCTCTCTAATTTAGCATCTTGGATGGTTGCCTAGAGAGTAAAGAGTGACTGGCCCAGGGTCACCCAGCCAGCACGTATAAGAGATGTCTTCCTGGCTTCCAGGACAGCTCTTTGCCTTTCAGAATTTTCCTGTGCACTAAGAAATTGAAGAGAGATTGCCAGGGGAAAATTTCACAACTCTTGAGCTCCCCCCTCACTCATACAACCCAACCCAATGAACACTAAGTACTCTAGACAAGAGGAGACCTTGTTTTAGATAATACCCATTCCCTGGCCTCACAGAACTTGCAGTCTAGTCAGAATAATAATTGATGTGAGCGCTTACCGGTTAACATAGGACTTTCCTTCCATACATGAATAGGACTGTTGATTCAGAGCTTGAAGAGACCCTAAAAATCATATAAACCAGCAATTCTCAAACTCTTTGGCCTTGGGCCCCTTTAAAATGATCAAGAACCCCTTTACACTCTTAACACTGTTGAGGACACCAAAAAGCTTTTGTACATGTGAGTTATAGCTATTAATACGATATTAGAAATTAAAGCTGATAAAATTTTAAACTATCCATTTGTTCATTTTAAAATCGTAACAAATTCATTATATGCTAACAAATAAAATAGTCTCATGGAAAATAACTATATTTTTCTCAAACAAAGTTTAGGGAGAAAAGTGGCATTGTTTTACATATTTTTTGCAAGTCTCTTTGATGTCTGGCTTAAGACAGTTGGAGTCTCTTAGCTGTCTGTTGTGATATGTTCTTTTGCTTAAAGTAGAAGAAGAAAATCTGGCCGCACACAGATATGTAGTTGGAAAAGGGAAGAGTGTTGTAATAGGCAAATAATGTCATTATTATTATGAAAATAGTGCAAGTCCCCTGAAAGAGTCTGGGGGGGGTAGCATTGCAGAAAGCCTGCTATAGACCAACCCCCACACTTTACATTGGAGGTGAAGTGACTCGCCTAGGCTTACACAGATAGTAGTCACTTAACTAACGTCACACCTTTAGTAAATGGCAAGACAGACATTCAAACCCAGGACCTCTGACTCCAGACCCTGTACTTACCACATGTGTCTCCTTTTGTTTAATTCTCACAACAAATCTTGTGAGGAAAGTGCTATAGCTATCATTATTATTAGCAATAAAAACAATTATTATTATTTTGATGATGTTCAATCATTTTTCAGTCATGTCTGACTCTTCCTGACTCCATTTGGGGTTTTCTTGGCAAAGATACTGGAGTGGTTTGCCATTTCCTCCTCCAGCTCATTTTACAGATGAGGAAACTGAGGCAAACAGAGTTAAGTGACTTGCCCAGGGTCACACAGCTAGGAAGTGTCCGAGGCCAGATTTGAACTCAGGAAGATGAGTCCTCCTGACTTCAAGCCCAGCACTCTATCCACTGTCCCACCTAGCTTCCTTATTACTACTACTACTACTATTGCTATTACTATTATTATTATTAGAAATGAATAAACTCAGGAAGATAAGTCCTCCTGACTTCAAGCCAGACACTCTATCCACTGTACCACCTAACTGCATTATTATTATTATTATTATTATTATTATTATTATTTTATTATTTATGAATAAACTTGGATTAGAATCCACGTCCTTTGGCTTCCAAGTCCCATACTCTTGTCTACAGTGAGGCTGGAGCTCAATGGGGCTGGCTGTGTCCCTGCTTATCTCGCCTTCTTGGGGAGCAGCTTCTGCAGGGCAGCTGAATCAGAGCCCCTCTTAGCTGAAGGAAGCAAGAGAGGGTTTAGGGTTTGTGGATAATGAGAGGCCTTGAAGCACCCACATTTTACTAGGTGTCAAATCTTACATTACGAACTCAAACCGACCTCATTCTAATGTGACAGCCTAGTGCCAAAGCCTAGTGCTTCGTTTGAAAACCTGGGTGGTAGGATGACAGCTTAGTAACAAAATTGCCAGATGAGTTTGTCTTCTCTGACTCCCGATGGGCGCCGAAAGTAGATGCTGGGATTGGACTCAACACAATTGGTGGTTTTGCCCTTTAAAAAGTCCAGGGAGAATGTGTTTTCAGTTAGGTGTCACAAGCACCACGTACTCCCTGAGTGGACCTAGCTCTTCCCTTCAGTGAAGGTTAATGCATTGACTGCTCCTGTATGGCTATGCTTTAAAAAAAAAAATGGCTGGGGGCAGGGTGGGGGGTGGGGTTGAACTGTATCTGTGATTTCATTAGCTAAGGGAAAACATTGCTGAGAATGGGTTTTCTGAAGAGATTTCCCATCCCTGGAGTTGTTCAGGCCAAAGACAGATGGCTACTTTTTTGGAGACAGGTCATTGTTTTTGTTTGGTTGGGTTGGGTTGGTTTTTGAGGGAGGATGGAGTCTTGCGATTTTGCAATGTGGGAACTCCCAGTATGGAAACTCCTTTTCCCAACTGCAGATCTGCTATTTACCCAGAGTTTTACTAGGGGCTCACGTTTCCATAATGCTTTATGGTTCATGTGCAATAGTCCCACTTGGGGAATCTCATCAGTGGATATTTATCTAGTACTTTAAATTTTGCAAAGATATATGTGTGTATACAGATGTGTATATGCACATACACACATGTTGATACATGTATTCATGCGTACACATATTTACATGTATGTGTACCTGTGTATGTTCACAACTGAGCCTCACAGCCACCTCTGTAGATATTATCCTCATTTTAAAGATGAGGAAATTGAGGCTCACAGAAAAGTGAGGTCACTTGCCTCCGGTTACACAGCTCATAGATGTCAGAGACAAAGTCTTCATGAGACCAGCGCCCTAGCCATTATACCATACTACCTCCCTTGGTAGACAGAAATGTCCACTATCATTCAAGATGAAATCTACTTACACCATCAGACTTGGTAGATGTGTGTTTTGCTAAACCATTTTTTTTCTCTCTCTTTTGCTGTAAGGGATGCCTTGTTGGGTAGGGGAGGGAGGATATATTTGGCAATTAAGGTGGTATAGAAACAAAGATATCAATAAAAATGATCAATCACCTATGAAGCCTGGAAAAGGCACCAGCCCTTACTTCTGAGACCCCTTCTTCTCCCCAGTCTTCTTCCAATCTACCCTTGAGACTCTTCAGATCCCACAAAAGAAGGCATGCCTCCCCTCCCTCCTCTGGGGGATGTGCCAAAGTTGGGGATTTGGGGCAGGGAAGCTGGGCAGGGGGAGAGGGGGATCAGCAAGCCTGGAATTTAAACTCATGCCTCTGCTCATGCCTTTTATGTCCTCATTGTTGTTCAGTCATGTCCGATTCTTCATGACCTCATTTGAAAGTGTTCTTGGCAGAGATACTGGAGTGGTTTGCCATTTCCTTCTCAAGCTTTCTTTACAGATGAGGAAACTTACACAAACAGTGTTAAGTAACTTGCCCAGGGTCATACAGTTAGTGTCTAAGGCTGGATTTGAACTCAGGAAGAAGACTCCTCTTCCTGACTTCAGGCCCTGTGCTCTATCCACTGCGCCAGCTCAGATGACCCTGAAACATAGATTACTCTTGCTTAATTCTTCTGTCCTATAAATTTTTTTAAAATTACAAACTTAATCACCAACAAATGCAAATTTTTAAAAATTTTTTTATTTTATTATTATTATTATTTTTTTTTTTGGTGAGGCAATTGGGGTTAAGTGACTTGCCCAAAGTCACATAGCTAGTGAGTGTTATGTGTCTGAGGTTGGATTTGAACTCAGGTCCTCCTGACTCTAGGGCGGGTGCTCCAAATGCAAATATTTAAATACACACACACAAAAAGAGGATTGTATGTAAAACCAAAAACTCTTGTTATATGGTTTGTTTTAAAAGAAGTTTATATCATAGTTAGGACTTTGGTAATAAAATTATACAATTTGTTTCTCTACTACTTTGAATTACTTTTTTTCTTTGTATATTTCTTATGTCATAATGATGTTCTTTTCTTCTGCATCTGTGATTTTCTATTAAGTCACTCTTGCCCCCTCTCCTATGGAGCTCACCCTTGTATCAGATAAGTAGAGTCAAGCTAAACAAATCAGTAAGTTGGCCATGTCTGAAAATGGCTCATTTCACCCCTATAGTTGATCACCTCTTTGCTGAGGGGAGGTGGCTAATTGCTTTATCAGTCTTTTAAATTCATGAATTGCATTGATCAGGGTTCCTAAGTGTTTCTGACAGTAGGGATTGGTTCATTCCTTAGAGTTTGATTTCTGTGCTTGGCCATTAATTAATTAACTAATTAAGCACTTATTAAATGCTTGTTGATTGACTGATTGGTCATTGTGGGTATCAGGTAAGTTGTTCTCCTGGGTTGTTTTTTGGTTTTTTTTTTTTGGCTAGGCAATGGGGTTAAGTGACTTGCCCAAGGTCACAGAGCTAATACATGTTATGTGCCTGAGGTTGGATTTGAACTCAGGTCCTCCTGAATCCAAGGCCGTTACTCTATCCACTGCGCCACCTAGCTGCCCCCAAAACAACTCTTTTTTTTTAAGGCAATTGGGGTTAAGTGACTTGCCTAAGGTCACACAGCTAGTAAGTGTCAAGTGTTTGGTCTGAGGCTGGACGTGAACTCAGGTCCTCCTGACTTCAGGGCCGGTGCTCTATCCACTGCACCACCTAGCTGCCCCGTTCTCCTGGTTCTACTCTTTTGCTCTGTTATCTGTTAATACAAATCTTCAGAAGTTTCTCTGATTTCTTCCTATTTGTCATTTATTGTTGTTGTTTGTCCTTCATTCTTGCCCCACTTCTTAGGGCATCGGCTGACACTTCCCTGTGGAAAGGGACTTGGTAACTAGTGGCCACGTGGAGAGACCACTTGAGGGCAGGGGAGTCTGGGGCTATCTGGTGGTGGAGATGTGAAGTACACCCCACAGAAAGGGCGTGCTTTCTTTTCCCAGGGGCACAGATTCTGTAAGGCAAGGTGCCATCCTGGCTATTGTGACACTAACCCAAAGGCAAAAATGGAAAAAAAACCCAAAATCTGTCTTGCTCTGCAACCCCTGGCTTGTGTTTATAGGATAACTTCAGGACGGTGTGGAAGAACTCCACACATAGGATGAGGGTCCTTCCAGTGAAGCTGGCTTCTCTCCATACTGGCAAGGCTCTCATCGAGAACAGGAGTGTTTCCATTCTATGGTCATAAATATATCAGACACTCTTCACTTAACTTGTTTACTTCAGTTTCCTCATCGTATGGGCTCTGCAAACCTTAAAGTACCATATGAATGCTATCATCATTATTGTTCATTTGTAAGTTGGACTAGATGACCCAGGATGACCCTTCCAACTCCGAGATTCTATGACTTCTCACCAGATGCTCCACAGATACGTGTCTCTGCTTCCTATAGAAGTTGAAAGGTAGTTTTAATCCTGTGACTCATGGATGGTGGGTCAGGAATTACAATTTCATCAACAGAAGGAACTTCCCTGTGTAAAGACTCCCTTCACCGATACAGTCTAGCCACTGTTAAAGCCTGGAGAGTTGCCTGGTGATTTGCCCAGGGCCATACAGCCAGAATGTGTCAGAGATGGAACTAGAACTCAGGACTTCCTAGATCTGAGGCCAGCCTTCCCTCTGTCTGCTCCGCCATGCTGCATTTCATTCCTTTGATTATTACTCTTGTCTGGATCTTCAGTTTCCTATGTGGAGGGATCTCCTTGGTGTAGAAACTTCCTCCACCAATATGCAAAGCCATTTAATTGGTGACATTGACCAATTTAATTGATGACATTTTTTTTTTTTTGGTCTTCCCAACAGGCACCGCCTAGGATCCTTCGATCTCGCTTCAGGAAGAAATGTACCTCATCCCCTGCCACTGAAACCATGTGAGTGAGATGAGCCAGCAGCACCGAGATCCACAGCACGCCTCTTCTCTGCCTTAAAGAGCTATTCACTTAATAACATAGAAATCTGGGAGCTGGGTGTGCTTTGAGTGGGCAACATTGTAGTCATGGCCTTCTCTCTCTCTCTCTCTCTCTCTCTCTCTCTCTCTCTCTCTCTCTCTCTCTCTCTCTCTCTCTCTCCTCTTCCTCTTTTTTTAAAATTAATTTTCATGGGAGAAGGGGCTAAGGGTGGGATAACAGGGAATAACCTCTAAGTCTCTGAGGTTGGGAGTATTCACAGCTCAGTCAACTTGAGAAAAAAGCATCATTGTGGAAGTCATCTCTGCTGTGTTTCTGAAATACAGAAATGTTTGGGGTATAAGTTTGTAATTTATCAGTTGTTTACCTAGTTTTTATTCCCATAAATGCAAATGATAGTATTTAAAACAAAATATCCTCCTCCCCCCCCATCAGAATACTTTGGATCATCATGTATTTTATATTTTATGGTATTTTTGGTTAAAATAAATAGACTTCCAGTGGCCAACAATGGCTTACAGTTATGTAAAGAGACTGAATGAAAAAAACGTTTGTTTTTTAAAGCAACAAACCCGCCAACATTCTTGTTCTATGTAGAATTTGTAAAAGCTTCCAGGTACAGCTCAAGTGGGTGCCTGGCAAGTATTTCACTACATGAGTGAGGACAGAAAAAATAGAGATGGGATGAAGAGAGATCAGGTGGTCACTCCTCTCTGCAAAGTTTTTCTTTCCCATTCCCAGTGAGCCTTAGGGTTTCCCAGATGTCCTACTGAGCTGTAACAGTGAGCTGAACACCATGCAATAGGGAAGGTGTGAAAAGGGGCATGGTCTCTGCATTGGATTCAGGGCTAGGACCTTGACAGTCACGCTTGATGTGACCACAGGCAGGACCCTTCACCTTGCAAAGCTTCTTGGGGATGTGACCATGCACCTACCTCGCAGGGATGTCAGATGGACTCCCAGACAGAAGGAGCTTAGCAGATGAGAAACTCTAGGTCACAGTAAGGATTCCTCATCATCTTCCCTGCATTGACCCAAACCATTCTCACCGGACAGAGATGGGAGGGGTGGAAAAACCTTGTGTCACGACAGCTCATGAAATCAGTATCGTGTGAAAAGAAGCTAGAATCATAGCTCTTACTTTTAAGAGAGGCTTTCCAATACATCCTAGACATGTTTGCAATTATCTGTGATAACAGGAGCAGGAAAGATTTGGGGAGAGTTCTAGTGGCAAAACTCGGTCCTAGAAAACACGATTTATGTGTGGCTTCCCATTGAATTCTAAATATTCCTCTCATCTGTGCATGGTAGCTTTTAAGAGACACTTCCCATGAGCTTATGAACTCACCCCATGGGAAAAGAGTCAAGTCCAGACTCATCATATAGAATTGACAGCCTAATTTTTTTTTAAAAGGAGAATCTGGGTTAGATTTCATTTTAGTCTAAGTGTTAGGATAGTGTTTTCATCCCCAGATTAGGAAAGAAGAGGGAGAAGCTATATTGAGTATTTGTGCTTTCGAGATGTAAGTGTATTCTGCATGCAGTGTTCACAAAGCAGTTAACCAATCCCTTAGCTCTGACTGTGTTCACCCTTCATCTGTCCCGTAGGCTAGTAAACACGTGTTACTACTATGTACCACATAAGACTTGCTGTCAACTGAAATATATAACCAGGCTCTATTAAAGATTGTTCCATTATTAACATAGTTAAGGTGCAGCAAGGGGTCTAGGGGGATGGTGAACCGGCTGGATTTCAGCAGGCTCAGAAACTGCCAGTGTCTGTCCCTTTGGTCCTTTACAAGTGATTTTATAGCATCCTTAAAAACAAAACAAAACAAACAAAATTAAAAACCCGCTTCTAAACGAGTTAAGAGAAAACCCTGAGCACTATTGGTTAAAAAAAAAAGAGGGCAAAGTATTTTCCCCTTGTCACAATACTTCCACATGTTATTGGAAGAAAAGTGATTTCCCTCAAATGTACCTCAAAGGCAGGTTATTAATAGAAACTCTATGGTTTAGAAAGATATTTACCTTTTAGGTAGCAACTAGGGAATATTCAGAATCATTGAATGTGCCCAGAATAAAACTGAGGAGCCCAGCTTGCATGCTTAAGTTATGCAACTTTTTTTGTTTTGCAAAAAAACTCCCCCCAAAAAACAAAACAAAAAAAAAACTTCAACAGAAATTAGAATCCTATTGTGAGCAAGCTTTTCCCCCCCTCACTATTATGCAACAGGAAATTCTGACAAGTAGAAGCAGACAAATTTGCACTCAATTATGCGAAAAAAAAAAGTGTGAAGAACTCTCAGATATGCTGTATTACTATTCATTCTAGGTAAAAATAAGAAAAGGTGTCCAAGCTGCTGTCTTAATGTAAACTTGACTGTTTCAATTTTCCTTCAAGTGTTAATACGGGGGAGTCGGTTTCTCTCTCAGACATTCACTGTACAACTGAGTTTTCATATCTCTGGCAAAATGTGTATTTATCCAACAAGCTGTATATTTGTGTATAGACTGACATGAAATGTGAATGCCTCCAAATGTACGCTTAGTGGTATGCTCTGTCCACAAAATAAGACAATGTTTTTAATTTGCTTAATTACAGACAGAGGTTGTTTACAAAATGCTAGCTCAAAGGTCTGTAATGGTTATGTATTGACTTATATTTTTTCATAGCCCTTGGGCACATGTATTATTTGGTGGGAGTGGGAATGGGGGGTGGGTGGGGGGAGGGGCAGCGGTCTAATCCTCTAACATGGGAGAGGCAGATTAGCACAGCTTTCTCCAGGCTTCAACTAAGCCACCTGCTAGCTTCAGCTGGTCTTTGAAATGTGTGTTTTTACATTGTAAAGTGTCCTTGTCCTTGTGATAAAATGCTGGTCAACTCCAGCTGTGGTTTATACTGGGTTTGCTTCTGTCTTAGCTTCAGGTACCCACCGCTCTCCACCCGGCACAGTGTTTGAAATGGGAAAGGACACTCACTATTTATACTCCCACAATTCACCCTCGGAGAAACAGCCGATAGATTAAGGATCATAACTGTGCATACTGACGATAGTTGACTTCTTGTAATCAGCATAGAAAAACCTGTCACAGAATAGCAGTACCACAAACACCACTCGGGAGCGATGTCAATGACAATATTCCAAAGGCAAAAGTTCTGCTGTTTTGTTATATTTCTTGCTTGATATATTCATCTTGAATAAATAAAGTCTTAACCTTTCTTTTTAAAAAAAAAGTTCTTTTTTCACGGTGGGCATGAGGGAAAGTTGATTTTTTCTTTCCTCTGATGTATCCGGATGGTGGGAAAGGGTCAGAAGCCCAAAGTTTGGCCACTAAGTAGCTGAGTGGCTTAACACAGAATTCCTCATCTCTAAAAATGGGCTAATTATGGTGCCTTTGTAATGGCTTACAAAGTGATTCCTTTGCCCCATTCCTTCCTCTTTTCCATTTCTGAGGGTGACCCTTTGGAGAAAATGAGGTGACAAGGGAAAGTGCTTGGAAAACCAAATAAACCCAGACACATGCCAAAGGAACAGGAGTCTTGATCTGACATTTGGGAAGAGGCAGGGAAACAGGGCAAAGGGGAGGAAATAAACGGTTTATATATTTGCTTATCTGTCAAATGAGCTGGAGAGGGAAATGGAAAACCACTCCAGTATCTTTGCCAAGAAAAGCCCGAAATGGGTCACAAAGACTTGGACACGACAGAGAACAACAACATTGGCACTGTATTATCTCCATTTTACAGACAAGGAAACTGAGGCAAACACAGGTTAAGTGACTTGCCCAAGGTCACACAGCTAAGTGTCTGAGACCAAATTTGAACTCAGGAAGATGAATCTTTCTGATTCCAAGCCCAGTGCTCCATCTACCATGGTGCCACCTAGCTATCTGCACAGTTCAAGTTTATCATTTTTAAATTCATTAAACAATTAAAATAATCATATCATTTTATAATTTTTTAAAAGTCACTACCCAAATGTATTCAAGTACTCAAATACCCTACAGATAGAAATCTAAGAAACCTTGAATGTCATAGTCATTTAAGAATTGAATTACCCACCCAGCAAAAACTACATGCATAATAGTGGATAGAGTGCCAATCTTGGAATGAGAAAGACTTGAGTTCCAATTTGGCCTCAGACACTTCCGGGCTGTGTGACCCTGGACAAGTCACCTAATGTGTAGAATGAGGAAATTGGACTCTCTGGCCTACAAGGCCCCCTCAAGCTCTAAAGACAGGGCTTGGTTTTAATGGCTAGCACAGCCACATTAAGCTGCCTTGCAAAACTACATCAATACAAATAGGAGAGCATCCTTGACTGTGCTCCTTCTAAACTGTATTTTTTCATCTACTAATTATGCAATTATTGGGCAGCTAGGTGGCGCCATATGCCTGGTCTGGAGTCAAGAGGATCTAAATTCAAATATGACCTCAGACACTTATTTGCTGTGTGACCCTAGGCAAGTCACTTACCCCTTTTTGCCTCAGTTTCTTCATCTGTAAAGTGAGCTGAAGAAGGAAATAGCAAACCACTCCAGGATCTGTGCCAAGAAAACCCCAAATAGGATCACAGAATCAGACGCAACTAAACAACAATTATGCAAAAGTTTTCCTTAAAACTTGGCTAGTAAATTTCCACTTTCTCCGACATCAAACAATCATTCTTGCAATCTTATTGGAAGTTGTTGAATTTCTGTATTTTTAACAAATGGGTTGAAAATCCACTGAAACTTTTCATTTGGAAGATTTTAAAACAGGTTGGAGAAGTGTGTCTCTAGGTTTAAATGTGCAGAGATGAGGTCTTAAAGATAACGCATTTTTGGCAGTAAAATCACATAGTGATGAAAACATTTCCACATATCTGGTTTCAGAAAAGGTCTCACTATGGCACAAGCTTCTTTAGAAAAAGCAGTTCCTTGCTCACTCATTAAAATGCTCCCTTTACCTTGAAGGGACAGATTGTGATTATTTTTATCTATTAGGGAACATATGCCCGACAGCCAACTGCCACGACAGAAAAGATCAGCCACTGTCGAACACTTGTCTTTTTTTGTAAAAGAAAAACGGCTGTCTCCAGTTCAACAATGATTAAGCGCTTTGCCTGGAGATCACCAGGAAATGGGTGTCACACTGAAGATTGTCGTGACCATTCCCCAGCTCTTTACACTGACAGATGTCTATGTGCACTGGGACAAGCTAGAATGTGTTAGGGAGCGTGATCATTTCACTTTTTAGAAATCACAGTGAATGTTTTATCAGTTATAATTAAATAATTATTAATTATTCAATTAATTAGATCCATTCAGCCAGCCAAGCAGGGGAATTTTAATGCTGGAAATTTAATCCCTCCCAGTAAAATGAAACCCAGGCAGGTGAAATTCTTACTCAGCAGCTATTTCCTTGGAGCACAGAGCTGGCAGAGAAGGCAGCTAAGGATCTACATGTTTTCCCAACATTGTCCACACAACTGGTGGAGAGGGGGGAGCGAGCCAGGTCAGGTTTTTATAAGCACACCAAGTATGTGACACTTGGTGTGTGAGAAGAAGTTGGGGGTTTGAGGAGGGGTCTTCTCTAGAGGTGGGAGAAGACAGAACAGAGGGAAATGCTGGGCACTAATGGGTAAAGGAGGTGACAGGACTGTGCTGGAGACATACCCCATGACTGGCTATCGTGGGGAGAGTGGGGTACAACACATCTTCCCATTGGGTGGTCCATACACCGAGGGCTTGTCATGCACGCACCCCACTTTGGAGACCACTGCCCTAGATAACAGTGGTTTTTGCTGGCAATTTTCTGCCTTTCCTTTTTCTGAATTAAATAGAAAATAAAGGTACTCTAAAAGTGCCTCTTATCAAACCTCCTTTCTTTAAGGTTTGAAAGAGCCGACAATGACACTGGAATGTTCTTCCTTGTCCTGGAACAGTTCTGATCACCTCCTTAGCAGGTTGGAGGTGAGAAAATACAGGAGAGAAGACTTGAGAAATTGTGGACTGGTGGTTACTCAGAAGTGGGATGAAATCAATACATTTAAGAAAGCAGACACTGGAATGCCCATCCAGCCAGCCACCAGCCCAACCACCATGCTTCAAATTTGGACTCTTTCCCAGCTTAAAATGTCTGACCCATCTTCACTGTTCAATGACATGCCCACGCTTAACCTTCTGGATTGGGAAGCCAACGCCAAAGCTACCCCCCCATGATGATATATCCTTTTCATTGTCTAACGCTCAGTTTGAAGGACTTGACTGTCCTGGCCTAACCTTTCATGGAGTTTCTGTCTGGTTTACATTGCCTTGGTTCTCGCCTCCCCCTTTTAGCAATGGTCACTTCCCTGGGACCTTTCCACTCAGCTCTATTCCTGTGGGATAAGGAGATCCCTCCCCACCTTCCACCATTATCAGCAACACTTTTTTAAAGGACTCCAAACTAGAACTCCACACAGCTCCTTCTCACCAATCTTGTAAGGGACATTCCCACTAAGTCAGCAAATATTTGTTAAGGGTCTGCTAGGTACCTGCCCTAAACTTGCTATGACTATGTGTCACTCCTCCACACTCACCCTAATTTTACACTATATCATTGGGAAAATGAGAAATGCATTCTAATGAATGGGAGAATGAGAAAATAAAGATGGATAAATGGCATTAAACTCAGAAATTTCCCCAGCTCGTCTGATGGCCTCTTGGTCTTCAATGAGAACATCTAAAAATTCAGCCTCCGTAATCCGAGCGTTTCCCCTCCCTCTTGCTCTGAACTAACACAATCACATCTACAGCAAAGCCTTAGTTCCTTGGTCTGGAAAATGATAAAGGCGACCACATGGTCTTTAAAACCCTGGCTTTCCAGGCTTACCGCACCTCACTCTGCATGCACTCTCCATCACAACCAAACCGGCCTTCTTCCCATACCCTGTGCCCAATATCTCATCTCCTCTCTCTGCGCCTTTGCCCTGGCTGTGCCCCAGGTCTGCAGTGCTCTCCCTCTTTCTCTTTCTTAGAGAATCCCGAGCTTCCTTCAGAGCTCAGCTCAAAGGGCTATGTTCTATACGAAGCCAATCTGTATATATTTTGTATTTAATTTCCTGGGTATGTGGTGCTTCCCCTCATGAGCATCCGAGCCCAGTGAAGGCAGAGCCCCTTCATCCTGTCTCTGAACCCTCAGTGCCTGGCCCTTAGCAGACCCTTAATAAATGACTGCTGAAGGAAAGGAAAAACACAATGAACTGGTGTTAACAAGAACAAGATGTTGAATATACCACAGGTATTTTATATATATCACCTTCTGCTAAAGTTTTTTTTCCCCACAAAGATCAGTATAATGAATACATAGCCATTTGTCACCAAGTCTGATTTATTCTGGTATTTTGTACTGTTGCCATTTAAACCATTTGCCTTACTCATCTTTGTACGGAGATATAAAGATCTGCACACAAGGAAGAGTCCCCCCGTCCCGTCCCAAACATCCCGTGTCGGCAGGCCTACACTTTGAGGTTGGTGCGATCGTGGTACTTCTGGAAGGGGTCATCGACATACCAGTTCCGCCTCTTCCAGAAAGACGTGGTCATTTTATCAAGCAGTTTGCTTTGTGTTTTGTTGCAGAACACCTGTTCGCGGAGGCGTCTTTTCTGTGCAGGCTTCTTCTTCCACAACCTCTTCTTATAACCAGCCTGTTGAGACAAAGCAACAAAGGGATTTAAATGGGCTCCCAACTCTCTACACCTCCATGCTCACACAGCTGCCTTGATCTGGCGAGGAAGTGACTGAAGGAGTGACGGGAAGAACCAGGCTGCCATCACGCCAGCTTGTCTGCATTCTCTAGGCTGTCCCGTATTTCTCATCTGCTCACTCCTGACTTCTTCGGAACATGCACAGCACCAGAACACACAATTGACTAACAGTAATCGCAGTTCACCCATTTTGGCCTGGTCGGAGAAAGGGGAGAGCTCCCGTGTAAGCCGCCATGGAACACGGACGTCGCAGGGACGAGCAGACGGTCCACTCCACCCAGCACTAACTGGCACAGTGATCTCTCTGTGATGACTCAGCAGACGCTCTGGGAATCCGGAGGGATCTCCGCATCCCTGCTTGGGATCTACACATGCCACGGTGGGTGAGTCAGAGTGGAAATGACAGATCACTGAATGTCAGGTAACAGACAGTTTAACATTTAACTTAGGGAATCCTAACAGTTCCTCAGCTCCCCTGGATTCTCCCATTCAGAGCTTTAAGACACAATCTTTTTGAGGTGAATGGTGCTCCATCTGTCTTTACAGGGGAGTGACTTTCAGCATAATGCCCAGGTCAGCTGCTGTTTTCTGTATTCCCAGGCTTCGTACAGGACCCGGCACATAGTAGGGTCTTAATAAACGTTTGAAGTGAAAAAACCCAAACCCAACACATATATTTTGCTAAAATGCTAGTTTCTCCATACAAGCATGAGACACGGTCTAATACTAGGCAATGCTGTCGGCTTTGCTGGGTTACAAGTGAGGGTCAGAGGAGGAGGGAAAGGAAAATGATTGTGGAGTTAAACCAAAAGCCCAGGAAACAGACAACAGGACAGTGAGACGAGGGACAGCCCTGTCCCCCGAACATCAGGCCTGGGCATAAGGTGTTTATCAAGTGAATGCCGCCTGCACGGCCCCCAAGGATGTCTGTGTCATCTCTGCAGTCTACCAGCTGCTGAGGAGTCCTCCTTGTCGGCCAAACTGATCTTTATGGGAAAACACAGCTTAACCTCCCAGTGGTAAAAGGGAATCAAGACGGAAATTTTAAGGCGGTTTTCACCAAATTCTTTCTGCTTTATCAGCTGCTTCAGTGTGTGAAGCACAAGGGCACAGCTCCAAAGACACCTTGGCTAAAACCAGTGACCACACGGGTCACTGCTTCCCCCCCCACCAAGTCCAAGAGGCCACGCGTGCTGCCCACCACGAGGCCCAGAGTGAGTGCTCAGCTGCACCGTGGTGGAAGGGGCTACAACACCCATCAATCCAAACAAGGGGCCATCTGACCACTTAACAATAATTATATTGGGACTCAACTCTCTGCTCAACAAGCTGTGGAATCCACACAGTGATGCCTGGGTTCGGGAGGGAGGGAAGGAGGGACAGCAAACCTCACCAACGTCACCATCCCAAACCGGGCTGTCTTCTCCAAATTCAATTAGACAAGTGTATGCCATGCCCCTCGAGGCAAAGAGGCAGCCTACCAGCCTCAAACCTTGCTGAGTCAACGTCTGGGTCGAAGAACTTTTATGTTAAATAGCGAGGAAAATAAGCGGGCCAAGGCTTGCATCAGTGTATACAAGCCTTCACACCCGAGGCTCTTGAAAGGAGGTGCATAAACTTCATATTTACATGCGGCACTGAAAAACGTTTGCCACTTACATGAATCAACCCTGCAACACGAATCAACTGCAGAAGAAGAGGAATCCAACTTCCAATTCTAATCTAATCTCCTTCCTACATCTGGACTTTTATACAAAGGCAGGGTTTCTTAAAGTCAGTCTCACCATAAAAACAGAGGCCAGCAAGTTAAACAGTAATACTGAGTTCACATTTACACACTGCTCTGCAGTTTCCATCCAATCTCACAAACGTGTGTTAAGGGCCTTCACATGTAGCATGCCGGGGGTGCAAAGGTGACAACAGCAGGTGTGGCTCAGAGGTCTCTCATGGAGCGACACCACATATGTGGGTACAGACATGGCTGCATGGGTAAAGCAAAGTAAAATAATTCTAAGACAAACGAGCAAAGAAATCAGCAGCAGGAGGGAGGGGGGCCATGCTCTGAAGTCAGGGTGGGGGCAGAAGGGCCCTTTGAGGGAGAAGGGGGGAAGGAGACGGAAACGAGGTGCTGGGGGAAGAGGGGAGGCTGCACCACGACAGGTGTAGAATCTGATGGGTCTCCTTTCTCACTCAGGTGCTCCCTGACAGGACCTGGGTCCTCCTGCATCAGCGGGGAAGCTTCAACCTGCTGCACCTTCCAACCTGGGCCGGTTCACCCCTTCTTAGGCTACCTGGCAGCCAAGCCCCTGCTCCAGGGCTCACCATGTGATGCCACATCTAGTGTGGGCCCCACTGGGCTCTAGCCCAGAACAGCTCAGGATGCTAGAGCTCACGTGGTCCTGCAGCCTCGGCCTCCCCAGCAGGCAGTCCGGGCTTCAGGTGGGGCCACCACAGACACATAAGGATGTTCCTCTGGACGCTTCACTTTGCTCGTCCTGTACCTCAAAGCTAGGTCTGGAAAAGCTCCTCCAGTTCTGAAAGCAACCTAGATGGAGGGGTGCATGTGTGTGTGAGAGTGTGAGTGTGTGTGCATGCATGCACATGCATGCTCACAAACCCTGTCCATCTGCAAGCTCCCCCGCTACAGTCCCTTCATGAGATAACCATGAAGTCAGACGTGTTTTCCACGGAGCGTTGTGCCCAGGGAACAGCTAGGACCAACACTGGTCTCTGCGGGACCTCGTGGGCAGAGCCTCTGCATGCCTGCCATCCCTTGACCAGCCCGCCAGGTCCGGGATCGAGAATTCAGTCACAGCCACGGGGCAGAGCCGCTGCAGGTACCCCACACCAGGACAGCCCCAGTTTGTGCCAGCCACTGCACTAGTCAGTACAGTCCCATGAAGACAGCACCAAGTCTTCTCTAAAACACTTATCTGCAGTGTCAGGCACTGTGCTCTGCACACAGTCAGCATTTATTAAATAGATCTGAAAAGAATGGACAATTAAAAGAATGACCAAGGAGCAGCTAGGTGTCACAGTGGATAGAGCACCAGCTCTGGAGTCAGGAAGATCTGGCCTCGGACCAGACACTTGACACTTACTAGCCGTGTGACCCTGGGCAAGTCACTTAATCCCAAGTGCCTCACAAAGGGGGGGAAAAAAAGAATGCCCAGACTAAGAAGAATTAGTGCTCGGTCTCTACAGAAGATACCATTAACGTTATCAGACCTTGTTGCCAGTAGAAAGCAACAGTCCAGTGCAAAAAGCCCAGGCTTGTGTCTAAAGAACTGGGTTCAAATCTCACCTCTGTGGAATCTACTCCAGAGAGATGAGCCTCACTTTGTTTGGAGACCAGACACAGCAGACCTGGCCGGAGCACGTCTCTCTGTACGGTATGAGGGGGACACTCACCTTTTTCCTCACCCACAGACCACAATGTAGTCGCAGAAACCTGAAGAGCACAGCTTTGACGGATTTCCGTTTTCCTTTTCTCAAACTACAGTAGATTAAAGTTCTGACTGGCGGTCGTAGGACGGCTGGAAGCAAAGGGCTGACACTGAAAGACGAAATAAACAAACAACTTCCATTGAAAGCCAACTGCACCAGCATTTCGGGTGACGAGATGAGCTAGCACTTTATTGTACACCAAGAAATCAGTCAAACAGCACAAGAAACTGACACGAGAGTGAACGTGTGGCCTTTTTATTCTTGTCTGTAAAAGAGCCTTCTTTAAGTTCCCAAATCCCGTAATCCACTAAGTGCACCAAAGTGGCGGGGGCCGGGGGGGGAGGAAATGATGAGAATGGATGGCCAGACCAATGTCTCCTGTCTTTCCAGCCAGAATGACCCCTTGTCCTACATCAGCAGGCACGTGGTTCTTGCCAGTCCTGGCGGGGATCACACACACCACCCCAAGGCTGAGCCGACTATAATAGGGGCCTTCCACTGTCCACACACCTGAGGGCCCGCTCTCTGCCTAAAGCAGGGAGCTGCTCAATGTCCAACCTGCCTTCATAACCACATCTTTCAAAAGGTAATGGGCTGAAAAAGGACACTGTTCTTCTAGACCTGATTCTGATCATGAAGGTGGAAACAGCCATTCAGGTCAAAATGACAGAAACCTTCTGAGGAAATAATCATTCCATCTTAAGAGCACGTGATAGAAAAGAAGAGGAAAACGGGCAATCCCATGCATGTTAGATTCTGAGTGTACCTCTCACAGGGTTCAGAAAAAAGATCAGGAGGACTGCAGGCCTAAGGAGGATGGAAAGTTCTTAAAAATGGAATTCTTAGGTACAAACAATGAGGAAGAACGACCTCGCCAATGAGAGTAAGGCTGCTGTTCAGCAAACTCAAGACACACTGGAATGGGCGCGAAGTAAGACGCTCAGAGGATGCCGCACCACAGAACAGCAGTTACAGACGCTGGGGATGTTTAGCCCAGAGGAGAGGCTTCAAGTGTTTAAAGGGCTTAGGTGGACTGGGATGAGCTTTGCTCTGCATGGCCCCAGGGCAGTACTAGGAACAGCAGGAGGAAGGCACAGAGGGATAGATCGTGGCTTGATGCCAACAAAATGTCCTAAAAACCAGAGCTGTATAAAAGTGGACTAGCTTGTCCAGGAGGGCAGTGGGATCCCCATCTCTGCAGACTTTTCCCCAGAGGTTAAATAATCCACCCCAGGAACGTTAGAGAAGAGGCTCTGTCATTATCTTGTGATGTGGAAAACATCCACGAGCTGGCTGAGCTAACCCTCCACTTTGGCCACCAGTGTTGAAGAAGGTACCCGATGTGTGTTGCAGCCATCTGCGCTCAGAAAGCTGGCCCTATCTGGAAACACCCTCCCTACCATGGGGCAGTCATCCTCGCTCTGCAGCTGATAGCTCCCTGTTTTCATATACAGTAAGAAAAGGCCTAAAATAATACAAACCAGGTAGTAATAGAGAGAATCATTATCTAATCCCACATCAGTTTTGAAAATTATCTTTTCTTTTAGAATTTTACTCGTCTGATTGAGTTATTGCTTAACTAAATGGTATTTCCTGAAATAGACTGTACCTATTAAGGATTGCTGAAGGGTGCCCAAACGCCAGACTTCTAACAGGTGGAACTAGTTTGGCAGCAGGAGAAGCAAGCGGTGCTTGAATGTGGCTGAGAGGTCGTCCAGACAGTGTGGAAACCAGGCGCATAGAGCTGGAACAGCTTCGGAAGGCTGATGAAACCAAAATATGCAGGGGTCGAATGATCCCTGTGAACAGAGAAGGAAAGATAGGAGATCATTAACATAATTCTGCGCAAGGTGTTTACGTGAAACATCGGCTCAAAATTACCAAGTGTTGCAAGACAGCATTAAGTACCCAAACAATCATCATACATTTCCTGAGTTCTTACTGTGGCCATATAGCATGGTGGAGAATACAGGAAATGTATGGTACGTGATCACTATCCTCAAGCAGCTTACAACACAGCTTGGAGAATTATCACAACATTCTCCAATAGAAAAAGTGGTCCAAATATATGAACAGACAACTTCCTTTCTTCTTCCTTCCTCCCTTTCTTCCTTTCCTTCTGGCAACTGGGGTTAAGTGACTTGCTCAGGGTCACAAAGCTAGTAAGGGTCTGAGGTCACATTTCACCTCCGGTCCTCCTGACTCCAGGACCGGTGTTCTATCCACTGTGCCACCCTAGCTGCCCCCTGAATTGGCAGTTTTCAAAGGAAGAAATGCAAACTACCCACAACCACGTGTGACAGAATGCTCCAAAGTGCTAAATAAGAGAAATACTAATTCCAAGCTCAGGTTATCCCACTTACCCAATTAACAAAGCCAGAGATGGCCTTGGTTGGAGATGTCATGAGCAAACAAATACATCAGGGCATAGCTGATGGAACTGTGTGTGACTTAGTCAGGAAAACCATTTGGAATGACCCCAAGGGCCTCACCAAAGTGAACACACCAACACTACCACAGTGGACGTCTATCCCAGGGAGGTCAGAGAGAGGCTTCCTGATAATCATACCAGCTGGCATTTGTAGAGCACTTTAAAGATAGCAAAGCCTCTACAAATATCATCTCATCTCCCCCTCACTACAACCCTGGGAGGGAGGTGCTATCATTCCACGTATTTGTGGTTGCAAAGAAGGGAAACAGGATGGGTCCCCATTGCCTGGGGACCTTATGAATACCAAGCACTATGCAGAGTATCCAACAGATGATAAATACAAAGAATGAGGAGAAACTGAGGAAGCCCAAGGACAATTTACATGACAGCAACACCATAAAGGAGAATAGCGCTGTAAGCCAATCGCCACAGCAGAGGATGGGCGCAAATACATGAGGAATGAGTCATCTGTTGTTGGACATGGCCAATGGTTTGGTTTATTCTGCTGAATTACTCTCCCAATTAACTAAAAAGCATTTATCATGAACCTACAATGTGCTAGATATAAAAGATACAAAGAAAAACGTGAAACTGTCCCTCCCCTCAAGAAGCTTATGCTCTATTTGGGGAGACTAAACGTACACATACAAATATGCACAAAATGAACACGAGGAGGTGGGCTCTGAAGAAAGCCAAGGAATCTAGACGTGGGAGAACATGTTCCAGGCACGGGGCATGGTCTATTCAAAGTTATGGAAGGTGGAATGTCATGTATGAGGGATGGTAAGGAGGGCAGTCTGGCTGGGCCGTACAGTGTGTGGAGAGTGATGCACAATCATGCAAGAGAGGTAGGATGGAGCCAAGGAAGAATGTCTTCCATTAAGCACCTACTATGTGCAAGGCACTGTGCTAAGTGCCAGGGATACCAAAAACAGCCCTCGCTCTCAAGAAGCTCACAGTAGGTACCAGATATCAACAGGACAAACTGGCAATGGCTGGTTGGTTGTTGCCCTCTGTTCTCCAAGAGGACCAAGATGACCAAGATGACATCGCTGTGCCAGAGCCCAGTTTTAGTGCGGCTGACTGGGGCTGATCAGCCCAGTATGAGCCTGGAAGGCTCTACCACAGGTCGGGTGCAAACAGTCCTTGTGAACCTTTGGGGTGGACTCTAAGTTTGCGTATCTTGCATTTCTCTCGAGTTACCTCAATTCGTCTTTGCTCATAGAGCACAGCACCTTCTCTGACGTGGGCACGCCACGCTGGGCGGTCCTGTGCCAGTGTCTCCCATGTCACACAATCAATTCCAAAGTTAAGAGAGATCTCGGGAGTGTCCTCGTATCATTTCTTCTGACCTCCGTGAACGCTTGCCCTGTGTGAGTTCTCCACAAAACAGTCTTTTTTGGCAAGCATACGTTTTGTACTGGAGAAAGCACTAAAATATTAAGAGGGATTAGGAAAGGCTTCTTGCAGAAGATAGGATTTTAGCTGAGACATAAAGGAAGACAGAGAACTGGGTTATGAAGTAGATAGAAACCTGGGCTTGGCGTCAAGATGCCGTAGGTTCAAATCTCACCTCAGACACTTAATATCTGTGTGACCCTGGGGAAAATCCCTTAAACTCTGCGTGCCTTGGTTTCCTGATCTGTAAAATGAGGGGGTTAGGTTCAATGACCTCCGAGGTCCTTTCCAGCTCTAAATCTATAATTTTCTAAGTAGTAAGGAGCTACTGGAATCAATCGATTTCTAAATATCCTGCAGTGTTTGATTTCTGGCATCACTCACCTGACCTTGCTCCTTCCAAAGTTAGCAATGATCATGTAATTGTCAGAGTTGCTGACTTTTTCTCAGTCCTCATCCTTCCTGACCCCTCCACAGCACCTGGCAGCTCTCCTCCCTTGACCCCTCGGCGACCCCTGACCCCCCTCTACTCTCCTCCCTAGAACCCTGGACGGCGCTGACCCCCCCTCTACTCTCCTCCCTTGACCCCTCGACGGCGCTGACCCCCCTCTACTCTCCTTCCTTGACCCCTCGGCGGCGCTGACCCCCCCCTCTACTCTCCTCCCTTGACCCCTCGGCCGCGCTGACCCCCCTCTCTTGCCGGATGCCCTCCCCTCTCTGGGTTTCCGCCCTCCTCCTCAGTCTCCATCCATGGCTCGCTCCCTGGGAGTATCCTACGGCTCTCTTCTTTCGCCACACTGTCCCGCTGGGTGACCTCTACGAAGAGGACTCCGAGATGGACACCGGCAGCTTCAGCGTCTCACCGCCGGCTCTGAGGACACACTGACCTGGATGCCCCAGGGGCACCCCCAACCGGGCGGCCACGGGCATCACCCCCCCTCCTAGGGCAGGTTCACACCCTGACGTCATCCCCATCCTCCCCCCTCCCCCACCTACACAACCACGGGGCCAGATCTAGTTCTGACTTCTACACTTTCGGGCGTCCCCAGCTCCAGCCGCTGGGCTGGGGGCCGGGAGGTCGGGGAAGACCCGCCCCAGGCCCAATCATCCTCTGCCTCCAGACACTTGTGGCTGGGCCTTGCACACAGTAGGTGCTTCATGGTTGCATGCTGACTAAAAGACATTTTCTGTCTCCCCTAGCCTCAGTTTCTCCACCTGTAAAACGAGGATCTCTCTTACACTTCCTATCTTTTTGGGCAGGTGGGCGCGTTACACAGAAGCCCAACTCACGCTTCCTCCCCTCTCCCCCTTTAACAACGTGGGGGGGAGGGGAAGGAGACGTAGCCAGCACAAACTGCGCATGCGGGGGCGGAGTGGCGGACTCGGCCTCGCTCCGTAGGGATGGGGGGAGGGGCGGGGAACGGGGCCTCCGGGCCCTGGAGAAGCGGGGTGACTCCGGGAGAGCCCCGCCCGGCCTGCCCGCTCCCACCGCATCCGACCGCGCCCCGTCAGGTGCTCCCACCCCGGAGCCCCGGGCTTCTCACCGACCTGCGGCGGCCCGTGCCGCCAAAGCGGACGCCGCCATGTTCCCGCTGCCCCTACGCAGGCCACTTAGGACCAAAATACCGGGGGTGGGGCGGGGCGAAGGCGGGGGTGGGGCCTGTGCTACCGGAAGGGAGACGGAGGGAGCAGGGGAGGGGAGAGAAGAGTGAAGGACGGTAAAGGAGAGGGAGGGAGGGAGGGAGGGGAAAGGAGAGAGGAAAGGCGCGGAAGAGAGAGGAGCGGGAGAAGGAGGGGAAAGAGAGGAAAGAAGAGGGGAGAATAGACTGCAGACCAGAGAGGGCCCTTGGAGGCCATGCAGCCCAGTCCCCTCGGTCTGCCGCTGAGGAAACTGACTTGGTCCGGAGGACCTCAGTTAGTGGCCAGCCGCCGCTTCTGACTCAGGATCTCCTACTACCCCGCGCACAGAATCGGGTACAAAGCGCCATCCATCCTTCCGACTTCTTTTCTTAAATTTGCCTCTGGGAATAACCTCTTATGATAATTACTGCCCGTTATGCAGGTCTTTAAGGGCTGCCTATGTATAGAAATGCATGATCGCACTTGACTCCCTAGGCTGAGGCTGTAGCTATCATTAGCCCAACTTACTCGTTATGAGCCTGAGGCCCGGAAAGAATGAGCAGCTCACTCTGGGTAACACAGTTGTACCTTTCTGAGATAGGGTTCCAACTGCTGTCTTCCTGACTCCAGGTCCAGCACCTTATCCACTAGCGGTACTGTCTTAGTTGTCCTACGGCGTCAATGTTCCACAAGCTCTTGGGCTAAGGGAAGAAGGTGCATAAGATGCAAAGTCTGAACTGTAACCTAATAAATACCCAGAGAGAATTGGTTGATTTTTTGCAGCACAGTTTTAGCTAAGCTGCTGTCTAGCCGGGCCTTCTGAGACAGCTACAAGACTATTGGGAATTAAGGAAGAGAGCTGTTCATGTGGTTATCTTGGTTAGTTTGAAATTATATCGAGAGCTGTGTAGAGAGCCAAAGAGGCAAAAATCGTTAAGAATTATGAAGGGGCAAATGCGACGGGGCCAGGTTGTTATAAGCTAAATCAGATAATTATTATTAGGCAAAAAAGCCATGTATTTCTATTTCTCACTTCCCCTGGGATCCAGATCCAGTTAATGGCAAATCTTGTTGATTCTGTCTCTAATTGTCTCCCATCCATCCCTTCCTCTCTACTCATACAGCTTGCCACATTCTCCACTTTTGCCTAAACTATTTCGATAGACTCCTAAATAGCCTTTCTTCTTCCATCTCTTCTCTTTCCTCCTTTATCAAGCTGGTCTTTTTTTCATGATTTTCTTGCCTCAGTCTCGTTTCTTTTCCCAGGTTTTTCTCTAACTCTCTTATTTGATTTTTAAAATACTTTTTGAGCTCTTCCAGGAATTCTTTTTGGGCCTGAAAGCAATTCACATTTTTCTTTGAGGCTTTGGATGGACCTGTTTTGACTTTGTTGTGTTCTGAGTTTGTGTCACCGAGGTTCTGGTCTTGTTTTTGTTTTTGCTCATTTTCCCAGCCTATTTCTTGATGTTGACTTTATGTTAAAGTTGGGGTCTGGGCCCTGTCCCAAGCTTCAGGTTTCTCGTGCTGCTGCTTTCAGAGCTAGATCTGAGGGGGTCTGTAAGTTGTCAGTTCTTCCAAGGTGGTATGATCCAGGGAGAGTTGTGGTCAGTGCCCTCCTGGTCTGTGAGAGACCACAAACTCTCTTCTATCCTAGAACTGCGATCAGGGTCCCTTCTCCTGCTAGTGTTCCTCCTACGTATCCTGGGACCAATCTGAAACTGAGTATGGGTAATGCAAAAGAATCCCACTTCCAGTAGCAGCCAAGGGTCCCCTGTAATGTCCTGACCGGCTGTCCAACCCCCTTGTGGGCTGAGAGCTCTGGAAGCCACCACTCCTGACTCAGTCACTTTCAAGGCCTGCGCTAGACTGGCATCCCAGGGCGTCTCTTCTCTTTCCAGTCTGTCCTCCACACAGGCTGTTACGTGGATATTTCTAAAGCTCAGGTCCGGCCGTATCACTTCCTTGCTCAAGACTAGGGCTTCATAGTATCTCTGCGACAATATACAAACTCTTCTGATATTTAAAGCCCTTCACAATCTAAACTGATAGACTCCCTCTTATATACTGTACTAGCTGTATTGATCTGCTCGCTATTTAACTGCTTTACATGACATTTAATTTACTGTCTTCTGGATGTCCCCCATTGCCCGTACACCACAGAACCCAGAGGGGCTGGGCCACCTGACCTCTCCTCCACTCCAAGGGACACTTCTCAGTATTGGACCCATGCAAAGACAGGGGTCAGCCTTCCTGGGGCTCTTTACATCCTCACCCTACATCCCCACAAAGAATCACTCAGTTTTGGCTTTTGTCTAGAGTTTCTTCAAAATGGAGCAACAGGAAGCTATGCAATGCATAATGTAGATCAGGTATAGCATAGCCATTTATTTCCTTCATAGAAAAGAAATCACAAGATTCACAAGTGTACATTGACAAAAAAAAAAGCTAACCCAAGAAATAGTCATTTAAAACTACTGTTATGCTTTCATGGGAGGTTGACACAACATCAAAGCATGAAATATTTTGTGGACTGTTAAATTGGCATTTCACCTTCACCTCCACTCTGTACTGTCTGAACTATTCCCTCCAGCTTCATGTCTTCTAGTGAGCCAGGCAGGAGTTGGGTTCATCCTCCTGCCGATGGTCATATTTTCTAACAAATGCTACAGTCATAGCCAGGGGCTCCTCCTAAGGTACAGCCTGCATTGACTGAGAAACTGGGAGTGCCCAGCCTCTCGAGTTTACCTCCAAGGCTGGAAATTTCCATCTCAGGATTGATGTGTGGTCACCTATGCTCAGGGAGAGAAAGGAAACAGAAGAGGCCACCCCACACCCAGACTCAGGCTTGTCTAGACAGGACAAGTGTCCTTTGCTTCCATGCTGCTGAGTAGAAGTCAGCTCCTGCTCCGCCTACTTTTAATGGGGAATTCCCCAAGAGGTATTCTCACATGTTATTTAATCTGTAGGAAGAAAGATAAAAAAAAAAGCTGTCTCTTCTTAACTGACACAATGCTGTGGGCCCTGCCACCATCAAAGGGTAGGGTGGAGAACCAAAGGATCATTCAGGGTTTGCTGGGTCATCCTCCAAGGCCAATCCTTTAAGGGTTGAGCCACCGTCACAATGGCAGTTGCTAGGGGAGTTCTACAAATGCTCCATGGGGTATTTTCCAATCCAATTCCTGCTACCCTTAGAATGCTCTCCCTCTTCTGAGTTCAAGCACCGCCTTTTACTTGACACCTTTCCTGATCTCACCAATGAGTGCCCGGGCCTTCCCTGCCTGGCCCCTCCCCCTCAATTATCTTGTAAGTACTCACCTTGAGTACATTTGGATTGTATCCTCTCATGAGAAAGACTGCTTGAGGGAAGTGACCCTTGGCTGAGCAAAGCTCCTGAAACAGCAGGTATGGAATGATGCTTATTCAATGGACTCATTCATGAAATAATAGGGCCACAGGATTTGGAACCAGAAGAGGCCTTAGCAATCATCTGCTTCAACCCTCTTATTGGATAGTCTAGGAAACTGAGATCCAGAGTGGCTGATGTGGCCACAGTGAGTGACCCAGGTGGGAAGTACTTGTGCTGGGATTCAAACACTGGTCTTTTGACTCCAGATCCTGGGTTCTTTCTGTCATAAAACAATCCCCTTAACTTCTCAAGGAAACATCTGCTGATTGCTCTAGCTAGAGGTGATCTCCCTCCTCAAAACTCTTGTAGTACTGATTATATTAACTGAGAGCATTAACCTGCATAAATGTTGGAATAAGGGTATCTGGTTCAAATCTTGCCTCCAAGACTTAGTGGCTATGTAACGATTACCTGCCTCATAAGCCTCAATTTCTTCAAATACAAAATGGGGATACTTGTTATCAATCTCACAGGGCTGTTGTGAGGTTCAGTTGAGACAATGTATGTAAACTGCTTTGCAAAAGCTTCATATACAGTGCCAGTTATTAATTTTTTTCCTGATGGACAAAGTATCTCACACAAGCCCTACTCTATTGGGCCTAACCATCATCTCTCCCCACCTGTAAACTTTTTATGTGTTTATTATATCCTTATGACTGATCCCTATTGCCCACGGGTCACCATTCTTGACCAATTTATAATTACACTTCCACTTCAGGGCCTCAAGGACTGGCAATTCTCTTCCCACTAACATAGGGTGGAGGCTCTACAGCTCAGTAAATGGTTTTCGAGCGAATGGCTGTGGACTAAAACTTGATCACCCTGCTGCTGTCCTTCGATACCACCACCAGCAGGCCCATGCTCTGCCAGAACTTGTTACTCCATCAGCGTAGCCTTCAATTCAATTCAGCATCACTAATAGAATCCCATTTGCCAGATAATGTACTAAAAAATTAGGATATGGTAGGGGCTCACTTTCCTTTGGAGGAGACGATACTTAAGGATATATACAGACAAACATATATGATAATTTGATTTATAAATTAATTTTTGGAGTGGAAGGACAAATTAAGTTAAGGCCTCATGGAAGTTCTGGTAGCACCTGGACTATGTCTTGAAGGCATTTAGAGATTCCAAGAGGCAGAGGTGAGGAAGGGAGTACATTCCAAGCATCAACAGACTCTGCAAAGGTGTGGAAGGAGATGGACTGTTGTTTATGGGGAACAGTAGGTAGTTTGTCTAGAAAGTCAAGTGCACAGAGGAAGTAAAGGGATGATTTCACATTAGGAAATATAGGATGGAGCTATATTCAAGAAACCGGGGGTCACCAAGCCAGGATAAGATGTCACAGTCACAATTATGATTGAGATATTTAAGAAACATATTTTGTTTGTATGTCATAAATGCATAATTTGATTTTATTTTATGCATTTTATGCCTACCCTCATTTATATTACTCAATCACACTTTTTATGGGGAAAAGACCAATTTCTTTTTAAAATTAATTTAAGATACAATTTAATTTAAAAAACCATCAGAAAAAAAATCAACTTAATACTTGTTGGAAATGTTTCCCGAGCATAAACTATCAAACATCTTATCACTTTATTTCAGATTTTCCCAGAGAATATCACAACCTCTCTTGAGGGATGCTGTTTTGTGATTAATCTAGTTAGATGTGAAAATTATCTGAAATTATTAAGTTATTCTTATTGTTTTATGCATATGCTTTTTATCAATATCAATTATGCACTGATGATGCATGTCTTCAAAGGGACAAATTGCTTAATATGACAAGGGTGTACCTGTGCTTTTCCTTTTAGTCTGGAAAAAAAATCTCTATTTGGGCTTTAGTAAAGGTCATCAGCTGTGCCTGAGTGTGGTCTTACCCAGAACCAGGTAACCTGTGGGTGGGTTTCTCCTAAAAAGTCTGGTTTGTCTTCACAAACAAAAGAGGTCAAAATTGATGGCATTCAGAAAACGGGTCAGAAATTTACTTTGCTTGGAATATACTGGACATATACTCAAAAATGTTACAATTCATGGCAGCTTGACATAGTAGAGTGCCACAAGCCTTGGTTCATAATCCTTGTACTACACACCTCATAGGGTCATTGTGAGCAAAGTGCTTCGCAAACTTCAAAACAATGCAACCATGAGGCATTCATACTGTTGGAAGGTCATATAGCCCCAAATCTCTTACTAATGTGGGAATTACAGCTTTTCTGATTGATCACTTCCAATGTCAGGAAGCTGACTACCTCATTTTCAAGCAGCGCCGTAGGTGGATGGGTGTTTGTCAAACGAGTAACTAAGAATACAAAGAAAAAATGAAAGTTCTTGAACTCAAGAAACTGTAAGAGGAAATATGTATGTACATAAATTAGAAAAACAATCGTAAGGTAGTTGTGGTCTGGGGAGGTGGTGGAGGCGCTAAGCAGTTGGAGGTAATCTGGGAAAGCCTGAGGTAGGAAGTGACCTTTGCCTGAGCTTTGAAGGCAGCTAGGGATTCTAAGAGGTGGAGATGAGTCACGAATTTATGTGGAACTAAATTCTTTCATGGAAGAGCTTTCCACCTATTATTTCCAGGACATTCCCTTGGAGGGAGGCAGAATTCAACTATTTAATTCTGCAAATATGTTAAGCACCTATTGGGTGAATTATATTGTCGCTCTCATTAAAAGTCTGTTATCTTGAATTACATAATGTTATTGTATCAACGTGCACATGTATATACTGCTCTCATTATAATATGAGCCCCTCGAGAACAGGGAATGTACGGCTGACTGTCACGTACCAGTCGTTTAAATAATTAAAGAGAGAACAAGTCCGCCCTGAGCCCTCTCTCTTCCCGAGTCCACAGTGCCCCGAGTGTTGCCTGGATTTCAGTCTATTCTCCATTTCGGGAGAGCCCACTGCAGTGTCAATGTCATTCCTAACAACTGACGCCCCAAAGCGCACACAAGGGAACTAACGGAGACAAAGAGAGCACGGGTTCAGAACATGTACTTCTCTCGAACTCGGGCTTCTGCGGGCAGGGCTTCGGACCAGGCCTCAGACCGGAAGCCGGAAGTTGGCCCTACAGGACACGCCTGCCGACGCTTTTCACGCTACCAGGCTTTGGTCCGATCGACGAGGCCGGCTCGGAATCACCCCGCCTCCTCCTCTCATCCCACCAATCCTTCCCTGCTCCGCCAGCGTCCCTAGTTGCTGACGCAGGCCGTCAACACTTCCCTCGCCCGCCCCTTTCCGACGCCGTCAGTCTGGCAGGACAGCGGGGCTGCTGGCGGTTTGCGCTTGCGCGGTTCCGCCGGTTTCCCCTCTTCTGCGTGCTGCCGGGCTTGGCGTTGAGGGGGCGGCCGGGGAGTACGTACGCACGCCCTCCCGTGCTTGCGGCAGCTCGCCCCCAGACGCGTGTTCCGCCGGCCCGAAGAGATGTTGCGGGTTTATCAGCTAACTGGCGTGAGCGCCGCCACCCAGGTGAGCGCGGGGGGGCGTGCGGAGCAGCCAACGGAAGGCGAGGGGCGGGGAGACCCCGGCGAGGCCCGGGCGGAGCGCGCTCGCGGAGGGCCGGGCGCCCGCTCCGGGGCCTCTCTAGAGCTCGGGGGCGCTGTCGGCCGTTACTTGGGGATTCCCTGGAGCAGAATGAATTAGGGGTGATTGCTAGGTGGGGAGAGCCGGCAGGATGGAGGGGGTGGGGCCTCGCGGCGCTCCGCCAATCCCCGCTCGCCGTTCACTGAAGAAGGCCAATGGAGGCCAGCCGGCGCCGGCGTGGCTGGTGCGCCGCGTGCCCGGGGCGCCTCAGCCAGTGGCTGAAGGTCGAGGGGCGGGCCCGCGCGCCAGGAGCGAGGCGTACTACAGGGGACTACGGTTCCCAGCAGGCCTCGGGGCTCCCGAGGGGCTACATAGCTTGGCTTGGGCGAGTGGCAGGCCGCACGGGCTGCTGGGAGCGGTAGTTGGAGTGCTGTCGGAAGCAAGGTTGGCCCTCGCTCTGGGACAGCCGACTGGCCTTTAAAGGCCCTTTTCTCTGCCCAGTTTATTACTGTGCCGGGCGGGGGTCGGGGCCCTTGTCTAACTAATCTTACTTAGAGTTTCTTAACTAGTGGGAAACCCTAAAGATGGGGTTTCTGGATCCTTGCAGAAGGGGGAGGAGGACAGGGGTCGTGACCTTGTGCCGGGACACCCTCCCAGGTCTGATGTCAGAAAGTCCCGTCCCCAGGGGTCATAAGGAGCCTGGCAAGAATACAGGCTTTGAAAGTGGAGCTGATTGTTAATTAAGCTTTAATTTAATCAGCGAGCGAGCGTTAAACTGCACCGAGACTTTGGGGAGACCTGAATAAAATACGGCCAATCGAAGTCTGGTCTGAGCATCATAAAGGCAGCCTACACACGGGGCATGTGAGCAGAGAGAAGAGACTGCGCTGGAACCTTGTGGTTTAAATGAAGTAGTAGTTGGTGTCCCTGTCCTGAGCTGGTGCTGCTCCGCCAACCTTTATCGGCTTTGAGCTGCGTTCTCCAGGCCAGGCCTGTCCCTTCTCCCAAACTCCCGGCGCTCTCTGGTTACCAGGGAAGGAGACGCTCCTCAGACAAGTGGTGAGGTCCAGCTTGTCTCTAGCCGCCTGCCTAGGCCTCCTTCCCATGTTATCCTTCAGGGTTAAATTCCTCTTAAATCCAAGGAACCTAGTTGGCAGCAATTAATTTGGTGTAGATATTTTGGGGCAGAGAGGCCCGGCACTGCTCAGATAGTAGTCAGAACAACTTGCTTTTTGTTCTTTTTTCCTTTTCCTCCTCCCAGCTGACTCCAGAAATTCTTGTCAGGTGCCAGCTCTTGGATTTCCTCCCAACTGCTCACTTCCTAGGCCTGTGCACATCCCCCCTTTTTTTTTGGACTGAATAGACAAAACCTTAATCCTTATTTTTTCTTTCATGGGGCTTTCTTTTCTTTGTCCAGGACTTTTATTTTATCAAGGTAGTGACCTCCTGATATACAAACTCCAGTCCTGTGCAGACCTGGAAATTTAGCTATGTATAACTTTTAGTCTTAGAGAGTTGCCCTGTTGCCTAGACAGGGAGAGATGAAGTGGACGTGCCCATGGTCACACTCTGGCATGTGTCAGTGGAAGGTTTTCAATCCAGATCTTCCTGACTCCCAGGCAGGCCAAAATACTACTCCAGAAGACTTTTACTGTATTACCCAGGGAAGAGATCTTTGGGCCCCATTTGATCAGAACTTATTGGGAGCTCATGTTGGTCTTGGCAGATCTGAGCAAGCTATCTATCAGCTTAGGTGTTCTTTCTACCCCGTTGGACCACTGATTTGTAAAATTTCTTCTGAGTTTAGAAACCTTCAACAAAAACATTCAAATACGGAATTACAAAAAGGTCCACAAAAGTCTAAACTCGGTTATTGACAATGTGTTTAAAAAGGTATGTAATAACATTAAACTATGAAAATAAAATGTAATAATACTGTTTCATTCCTGGTTCCCTTCTGATTTTTTTTCTTATGTCTATATTTTTTAATTTTGTTGCCATTTTTTTCGTGTTCATAATTAGTGTGTATTCTGATTTTGCTTTTTGCATTCTTTATAACATTAACTTTTTGTGTAGTTGGGCATTTAGTAATCATTGTTGCTTATACAACTTTAAACATTTTAATTTTAAAATTCTAATGAAATTCTGTTATTTTGGGGAGGACTTTTGACTATCACCTTTCAGGACCCTTTTCTGTGAGGTCATGACTACATCCGTACTGAATAATGGAGCTCAAGGTTTGGTAGCCCAGTCACATGCCTTGAAGTGTTGCGACAGGCTACCCACCTGACTGATGCCTGCTGTTCGACTTGCTGCCACCCGCACTGTTACTGGGGGCATTCCTACCTTTCTGACCTTAAAAAAGTTGTTCTAGGATCATTTAGGGATGAGCGTCATAGTCACTCAGAAGAGCTTGTTGTGTCTGTTATCCACACTGAGAAAACAAGGTGGATGAGAAATACTGTTGTCCAGACTCTTATTGGCAGTTGGGACAGTCTATATAGGGCACATCTCGGGGGAGGGGACCCGGGAGACTCAGTAAGCTCAGGCCAGATTTGAAAAGGAGGAGATTGGTCTGGGTTGCCTTTTGATGAGTTTATGGGAGGACGTGGAGGAGAATCACACAGAATCAAGAGAAGCAAGTGGATTGTAATGTGCATTGTCGAAAGGAGTACCCGTAACAATGAAGTAACAGCTCCATTGGCATACTGGAGTTCACTGTCCCATTTTGGCACCCTGGACTCCCACAGCTATATGTCCTCACTTGAGTGGGGGGGGACACAGTGACAGTCATGGCTGTGGACATTCTCTAATATAAATACGATTTTAAATGATTCTTATGGTTTTCAATTACAGTACAGATAAAATTCTTTTAAGTTTTATTAATTTTTTAAAACACTTTTGCGTCATTTCACAATAGCTTCCTGCTCCAATCCGTCTGGATTGGATTCTGGATTCTGATTCTCCTCCATGTCCTCCTATAAATGCGTCAAAAGGCGGCCCGGACCAGCCTCTTCCCAGTTTCCTTTGCAGCTGTCCATTTTGTCATTCTTGGGGCACAATGATTTTGTACTGCCTTCACAGGCTGTGCTTTGTTTGGCCTTTCCCTGGGAAGAAAGAGCCCCCTGATTCTTCAGTTTTGGCTATTATGAAAAGAACTGCTGTGGATATTTTTGTAAATATGGATTCTTTTCCTCTTTGATCTCTTTGGGGTATAGGTAGCAGCATGGCTGCGGCAAAGGAAATGCAAACAGCACCTTTTTGGGACATAGTTCTAAATTACCTTCCTGAATGGCCGGGCCAGTTCACAGCTCCACTAACAGTGCATGAGTATAATAATTCCTCTAAGCATTTGTCATCTTTGCCAATCAGATAGGTATGAAGTGGAACCTGAGAGTTGTGTTAATTTTCATCTCTTTAATTGTTAGTTATTTTGTAGTTGTTGATAGCATGCATTTTTTCTAAACTGCCTAATTCGTATACTTTGACCATTCATCTGTTTGGGAATGGTTCTTTGTCTTATAAATCAGAATCATTTCCTCTTATATCTTGTACATGAGACCTTTAGCACAGAGGTCTTCAAGCAGCCTGGATAACCACTTACTGATCGTGGGAATTCTTCTGGTGTATGGATAGATGGCGGCTGGGTGGCACCATAGTGCATGGAGCACTGGGCTTGGAACCTGGACGACTCCTCTTTCTGAATTTAAATTCAGCCTCAGACATACCAGCTGTGTGACCCTGGACAAGTCACTTAACTCTGTTTGCCTCAATTTCGCTTCTGTAAAATGAGCTAGAGAAGGAAATGACAAACCACTCCAGTGTCTTTGCCAAGAAAACACCAACTGGGGGCACAATGAGTAGGACGCAACTGAAATGACCCAGGAACAGCAACGAATGGAGTAGATGGCCACCGTGGCCCCCTGCTGACTTGCACCTTCCATGGTCCTGTAATCCATAGGTGGGTCTGCAGAGTCCCTGTTGTATCACTCACCAGATACTTGACATCGTCTGCGGAAGAGAGCCAGAGGCCTGGTGTTCTTGGAGGCTCACGGACTGCTCCGTCTTAAGCTAACTATGAGATATGGGGCACCAAGACACTTTTTGGGGTTTCGCTTTCCTCATCTACAAAATGAAAATGGTTGGACAAAATGATGGTCCCTTCCAACTTCAAAGCCGTATGATTTTTATGACTGAACTCAGTGCTAGGTTCTTAGTCTTCCTGTACACAGGAGAGTAGTTCTGACCTTCTCTGTCACTGAGAATGAGAGTTTTTATATTGGTCATTGACGACTAAAGCTGTGTGCCCGGAATTGTCTTGTTTGCTTTTGCCTCTTTTCTCCAGTGTACCTCTGTCTCTCCTCTCATTTTCAGTATGAAAAAAACCAGGTATTTCCCTCCTTCACACAGAAGCTTATTTTGTGTTTTAGATGCAGCTTTTGAGAATCCTTGCTTTCACACTAGCTCTGACATCTTTGCTTTCTCTTTGCCAGTCACCAGATTCTGCCTTTAAAAAAGTACAAGCCTATCCCATTTTTTGAAAATGAAAAATCTTGTTTGGGTTACTTTACTGTCCTGCTCCTTTGAGTTACCATCCCCGTCTCTTACCAAATTTTCCACTTCTTTTTTTTTTTTAAACGCATTTGGGGTTAAGTGACTTGCCCAGGGTCACACAGCTAGTAAGTGTCAAGTGTTTGGTCTGAGGCCGGATTTGAACTCAGGTCCTCCTGACTTCAGGGCTGGTGCTCTATATGCTGTGCCACCTAGCTGCCCCAAGTTTTCCACTTCTGTTAGTTGGGACATCTTTCCCCTGGTCACTTTGGCCAGAAACCTTGACCCCAAAACCTGAATGAGACCCTGGTCTGCTGTACTATGTTGTGGAGAAGTTATGATCTTCCACATTTTCTTTCAATTCTTGCTCAATGTGTCATGGATTCCTCTCTTCA